CCACCCCCCGCCCCTGCTCCCGCCCCCGCCCCTGCTGTCCCGACGACGCCGCCACGTCCTCCTCCTGCGACGACACCCGTGACAACTCTTCGTCCTGTGGGTCGCGTGAAGAAGATAGCCCGCTGTCTTCCAGCTGCACTCTCAGCTGCGATGTATCATCCTCTTCCCCCCCTTCTCCCTCTTCATCACTTTCACTTTCTTCCCCTGCCTCTTCCTCCTCATCGTCTTCGCTTTCTTCCCCAGACTCTTCCTCCTCTTCCTCCTCCGACTCCCCTTGCGGCACTGTGTTCATGTACTGCGTAATAAATACTTCAGCTGACGCTCGCCATCCACCTCCCGGACACTCACATTCTCAAGCACCTCCTGGTCCCGCTCTTTAAACCCACTCGCAGACACAACCACATCAAGCCGAAAGTCCTCCCCCTCCTCCGTCTTCTCCGCGTCCCGCAAGCTAGAAAACCGCGGGTACATCCGGCTTTCGTACCGGAACCGCTTCCGGAAATACTTGCGTATGCACTCCACATCCCGGTTGAAATACCTGCCGCATGCACGAGTTTCCATACATAAACACACGACGACCCGCGAAACCACTCACGACTCGGCATTCAGGTGCGACGTACTGACCATCTGCGGAAAATCAATCACCACCGGGTCCCCCGTGTCTCTCCGTATCAATATGTTGAACTCGTTAAAGTCCCCGTGGATCAGCCCCGCCCGCGCAAACCGCACGATGAGATCCATCAGCTCCGAGTACAGCTTTCCGGGCGACGGCAGCGACGACACCTGGCGCCTGCGGGACAACACCATCAGTCCGCGCGTGAGCCAGCCCTGCAGTACTCACAGAGGGTACGCGTCGATAAATTCCATCAGGATGCAGTGCCGTACGTGGTCAATCGGCGTTGGCACAGGGAACCCGTGCTCGTGCAGGACCTGCGCACGATGAGCGGCGAGGACGTACGACTACATGAGAGCGTGCTCACTTTCATGAACGCCCACTCCTTTTCCGCAGCGAGGCGCGACATGTACATCCACGACGCAGACTTGCGCTTCCCCATATAGTCTCGTTTCTCTTTGATCGCGCGAAACGAGATGCGGCCCAGCCTGCACAGCCGAGGCATACATATCAGAGTGAGCCAGTAATGATTAAAATCCAGCGCCTACCGATGCAGCTTCAGTACCATCTCCCGCCCCTCCGCGTCCGCGACAATATAAATGTCTAGCACGCCTCGTCGGCCAGAGCCCCGCGAGCAGACACCGCGATCGTGCACTCACCCGACTCTTTCCCGACGCCGATCTGGTTCCCGACCGAGAACATCGACTCGCGCTTCGACAGCGCGCGCATCGCGAGGTAGTCGTATCCGCCGTACGTCAGCCTGTACCCGTCGTCTTTCACGGCATTCACATTCCGCACAATAATAGATAGGGAGGGAGGAGGGGGACGTACATCGGGCGTTCTGCACGCGCGCGACGAGGTTGCGCTTCGCGAGCGCGCCAAGGCATTTGTTCACGCCGCCGTTGCGCAGCCCCGAGATCTGCACGACGAGCACGGTCGGGACCACCTCGTGGTTCTTCGAGCCCATTTCGACCTGTGTGTGTCCAGAGCGCGTCAGTCGGGGTGACCGTCGGCGGGAGAGGGGCGCACGGCTGTGAGCACGCGGAACTCGTCCGAGGTGAGGTACCGCAGGTCGGTGGCGTCGAGCTTCATGGTGCGTGGTCAGTGCGATGGGATGATAGATTCCAGCCGAGTTGTTCAGGCGGAGAGTCCACTCTCCTCGATGCGGGAGATCGCAAGGGTGATCGGGCAAAAAAAGCTGCGGCCGTCAATGAGGCGCGGCGCACGTGACCTGAGCGTCCGCGTTATTGCCGCGGCGGTGCGTCGAACTCGACGCTCGAAAGTCTCTCCGTTTGAACGGCACACGCATGGCGAACAGGTCGAAAATCATCCGCGCTGCAAACGAGGCATGTGTCTGCCCGCGACATCCCTCCCGCCCCGTGGCCGCTCGCTGATGCGCTCTTGCCTGCGACAGTAGGCATCGTCCGCCACCCTCTCCGAATCGCTGCCAGCCCCCGACCCAAGCTCCAGGTGCGCCTCGCCTCGGTACACTTGACAGCTACACGATGACGACGTGCGACCCAGCGCCCACTTTGCCATCTGCACGTTCGCAGACATCTCTGCGGCAGACCGCGCCGCGATCTGGGCTCTGATGTGCGAGAACATGCGCGACATGTACGTCCCCGACCCTCTGTCCCGCGTTCGTCCGCCCGCCCGCCACCGCGCGCTGACCTTTTCTGGCGCCCCGCAGATACGTGCACTCGTCGTTCGGCTGGGACCCGCCATCCAAGGAGGCAGAGCTGTTCCACCCGCTCTCGCGCTTCGTCCTCGTGCGCTCGCTCGGCGGCGACCGCGAGGGTGCGCCCGCAGCGCTTCTCGCGTTCGTGCACTTTCGCTTCGAGCGCGAGGAGGGGCAGAACGTCGTGTACTGGTGCGTCGCCCGACGCGCGTTGCTCCGGGACGTGCCTGACCGCGTGCGGCCGCGCAGCTACGAGATCCAGGTGCGGACGGACGCCCGCCGCGCGGGAGTTGGGAAGAGGCTGATGGCGGTCCTGGAGCGGGTGGGCCGGCGGTGGCGCATGCAGAAGATCATGCTCACCGTGTTCAAAGGTCGGTGGTGCTCCTCTGGCCGGGCGGACCACCTTTTCTGACGCGCGCCGTCTAGTGAACTCGAGCGCACGGGGATTTTACGCTGCTCTGGGGTGAGTCTCGCGCGACGAAAGATCCCGCGGAACAATTCGCCTGCTGACGCACCGTCTCCACATGACAGTTTCGAGGTGGACGAGACGTCTCCGGAGTATGTGGATTCCGGCGAGGAGGAGGACGGAGAAGATGAGGATAGTGCAGAAAACTACGACTACGAGATTCTGTCTAAACCTATTCAATAAACCTGATTTTTTGCTCGGAGAAACGTTGTTCATGGGCAGAGCCGCCGTTGAGGTCGGGAGCACGTAACCCTAGAGTAGGTGTCGCGCCTAGCCACGGGCGCCTCGCGTACACCCGCTCTTGCATTGCAGTCACCACCAACATGCCGCCGACATCGCTCTTGCGGACGCTACGGCTCAGCCCACAGCTCACCCGACCAGCTGTCCCCGCATTCCGGCGGTACGCCTCGCACGGGCACGGACCGCGCTACAACGAGCCCTCTGGCTTGGTCTTTGGCGAGAAGGTGCGGGGCTGCTAATTCTGCGTCTCTGCAGGGTGCCTGCTCTGTTCTCGCGGGCGGATGCTAACGAGTGGGTTTCGCCAACCAGCCGCCACCGCCGGGACAGAAGCGCAAGAGGGAGGATTGGGAGATCATGTGGTATGTCGGGATGTACGGCTCGATGGCGCTGGCAGCGGTGCTGCTGTACTACAAGCCCGACAACAGGTGAGCAGCGCTCCCCGCTTCCGGTGCTGCGCTCATGCGACCCGCCTATCAGCATGCAGACGTGGGCATACAACGAGGCAAAGGCGCGGATGGAGGCGCGGGGCGAGAAGACGAGTTACCCGTGATATATCGGCTCGTATACGCACTCTGTGCCATCTGCATCGTGGTGTTCGTGCATTTAGAGACGAAACTCGGTTTTTCGGTCTATTAGAGAAGCAAAACGGACGCAAAACATGTGTAGTGTGTGTGTGCTACCTCACTCATCTCCGGAGAGCCCATTACTCCGCCCTCGATTATGCACCGTAAAGGCCACACCTTAAGTAACGTAAACCCCTGCGAGCGACCACGTCGTGCAGCCCTCACGAGTCGCAGTGGGCCTTGTACGCGTCTTCCGTCAGCAGTTTCTCGATCTGCGGAAGGTGTGAGTAGCCTGCGGGGGCGCCAGGCGGGCTCGGAGCGTACCTCGGCCGCATCGTTGACCTTGATTTTGCACAACCAACCTGAAGACAGCGCGTGAGTGAGCGTCGGGGCGCCGGGGCCAGCTGCAACGCACCCTGGTCCTCTGGAGACTTGTTGAGCAGACCGGGCTGGTCGGCCAGCCCGCTGTTGACCTCGGCGACTGTGCCAGAAATGGGCGCGTACTGTCAAAACGTCGGCAGGCGGCCTGGATGAGTGCACGACCGCGCCAGACCACGCGGATACTCAACAATATCAGAGGCAGCCTTGACGCTCTCCACGGCCCCAATCTGGTCTGAGCACCGGTCTCAGCTCCCTGCCAGAGCCCGCGAAAAAAAAAACCCCGCAGCGCTCACCTCCCTGCGCGACCGTGCTGCCCTCCACGGGCAGCTCAACGAACACGACGTCTCCCAGGCTCGACTGGGCATAGTTCGTGATGTACACCGTCCCCGTCATGGTGCTGTCGTCGAACACGACGGCCTCGTGGTCCTCCGTATACCTCTTCGCTGCAGCAGACGTCTCTTACCCAGCCCGTGCGTCAAAGAAGGAGGTTTCTACTCACTGACGAGCGTGCGCATGAACGGGGTGCGGAACGCGCCCGCCGCTGGTCTGCGGGCGGTGCGCACCGCAGCGGCAGACGAGCTCGAGCGAGAGGCCAGGCGGATTGCGGAGAACATGGTAGCTGGAGGTTGGAGCCAACCCGGACGATCGAGAAACGCGCACAAGTCGTGTCCCGAAAACCCTGCACGCTCTGGCCCCTGGGGACTTGCTGTGAGACGCGACCCCGACGGCTGTCCGCTCACGGTGCACCCAATTCCATAAATTCGTACGTATTTTTCGGCCATGCGCTCTAGCACCGACAGTATACGCAATAATTCGGAAGCGTCAGTGAATCCATTACGTTCAGTCAAGGCAAGTGTGCTAAGCGATGCGATATATGGTACGGTACGGCAAGTCGACAGGCGTGTTAGCCCGCTCTCTACTTTTGGAGTTGAGTGGGGATCGTGCATAGACACCGATGTGGCACTAATATGAGATATATACTCCTCCAACTATGCATATGTGAGAATCTTAGTAATGATACCCGTGCCAACTACACAAAAGATGAAGTCAGCCTGCGTGAATCGACATAACGAAGAAACAAACCTGTCTTGCCTCCCTCGCGGAGAGTGAAGCTGTGTAGCTCATAAGTACACTGCAGACGCCTATCAGAACACTACATGCTTACCGAGTACCAATCTCCGCCGCCACGTCGTGCATCAGGTCACAGATCATCTCGACGTTGTCACCGGGCATGACCTAATGTATAGCTAGTCAAAATCCAATCACTTCAGCATGGCGCCGAGATCGCTAACCATCTTCTCAGCAGCATCCGATGTTCCTTCTGGCCAGTGAAGGCCACAGGTCACATCTGCCGTACGCAAGAAGAGCTGGGGCCGATAGTTGTCCATGAAAGGGGTGTAGCGACCACCTTGGAGAGAAATAGGGTATTGAGTATAGAAGCATACTGTCAGATAACTACAATACCTTCGTCCTTGGTCAAGACCTATACGAACAAACAGTGTGAAAGGCGATGGGTGCACATATCAAAAGATCACTCACGTAGATTTGAGCTTGGAATTTCCTGACGGCCTTGATGCTACCAGGAGCAATAATGACCTGTCCACGCCGTATCTGTTCACGCTTGACACCACGGAGCAGGACACCCATGTTGTCACCGGCCTCGCCCTAGAAGACTTTCAATGGCAGCCACATTAAAACATGAAGAATACTAACTCTGTCAAGCTCCTTGTGGAACATCTCTACGAAAGCATCAGAATGGATTGATGAAAAACGCTGAAATGTACACGCACCAATACCGGTCAGAGTGGTCTTGAAGCTATCGCCCAAACCAACCACCTCAACTTCATCACCCTTGTGGCAGACGCCTCGCTCCACCTGCAGTTCATGAGTACCAGACAGAGACATACTAACAGGACAAAACTGACACGGCCAGTAGCGACAGTCCCACGACCCGAGATGGAGAAGACATCTACAGATGACTGAGTTAGACCCGTAACATGCATCAGCAATGTTTAGCTACCTTCTACGGGCAGGAGGAAGGGTTTCTCAAGATCACCTATGGAATAGAGTGAGAGTTGTCCACGAAATCAAATGGTGACAACTTGCGAGGAGGGATCTCGAGCCACTCATCACAGGCACGGACCAGTTCGACAATCTTGTCGGCACCAATATCCGGATTCCGGCCTTCAAGCGCAGCAAGAGCAGAGCCCATGATGATAGGAGTTTCCTCTCCGTCGAAGTTGTATGTTGAAAGCAGGTCTCGCATTTCCATGTCCACAAGCTCCAGCATCTCTTGGTCCTGGATCTGGTCGACCTTGTTGATGAAGACTACCAGCTTCTTGACACCAACTTGGCGGGCAAGGAGCAGATGCTCTCTCGTTTGAGGCATCTGACCATCCGTAGCAGACACAACAATAATGGCGCCGTCCATCTGAGCAGCACCAGTGATCATGTTCTTGATGTCTAACATGGCTTTAGACGCGACTGGAATCCATATAACAAGTGAACGTACAATCAGCATGTCCTGGGCAATCAATGTGTCCGTAGTGTCGTGTTTCACTCTCGTATTCGACGTGCGACGAGTTGATAGTGATACCACGAGCCTTCTCCTCTGGCGCCTTGTCTATGTCGGCGTAATCAGTGAATTTGGCGCCGCCGCGCTCTGCGAGAACCTTGGTGATTGCGGCCGTCAGGGTCGTCTTGCCATGGTCGACATGACCTACGAGAAGGAGTTCGTCAAAAGGAAAGAAAGCTCTCGTGCCAGCATGCACATACCAATGGTGCCAATGTTGAGATGGGGTTTTGCCCGAGAGAACTTCGATCCGGCGGCGTCAGCGTAACCCCTACGGATTACTACACGCGATAGTCAGACCCAATAAGACAAACATGGCACTGAACTGTATCTACCCCAGCTTGCACCATTGGATTTGATGAATGTCGAATGTACGCTTCTGGCGGGGTTCCTGACCACATTCCGCGCACCTGTGTGATATGATTGCGCCGCTAAAAAGGAGGTTGATAAGGTGATTCACACTAGGACATGGAAAGATGAGCAGACCTCGGGAGACGCAGAGACGGCGAGAGATTGTCCTCGATGCTGCCAGCGGCGTCCTGAACATGACGGTAGGCTAGTGAATCTGGCAGTGTGTTGGCAAGCGTGACTGGCTAGAAAATATTCGCGCCGGTGCGCGCTTAGCGGCGATCGAATTGGTGGCAATATTGGGCGCCAAAGCCCATGCAGAGCAACGAGTCTCGACTTAGGCTTGGGAGTGTCTGCTGCTTGCAATGGCGACATCAGACAGGCAGGAGCTCGTGCGGAGTGCGGTCGATTTTCTCTCTGATCCCAAGGTGTGTGCTGACCCCACTTGCCATGCTTAGGGCCTGACACCGATTTAGACACAAGCATCACCCCTCGCGCAGCGGGTTCAATTTCTCGAGGCCAAAGGACTGAACAACAATGAGATCGACGAAGCCATGAGACAGGCCGCATTGAATCAAAGCCCATATTCTCTGCGAACTTATCCACAGTCTTATTCTACCGCCTCTTACCCACCAGTTTATGGACCATCACCATACGCCGCACAACCTCCGCCTCAAGCCTGGGATTGGCGAGACTACTTTGTGAGCGATTCCTTTACTCGCAAAGAACTGTCTCGTAAATAAGGTGAGCCTCTCAGATTACTGCCATTGTTTCAGGCACTGTAGTCTACGGGGCTGTCTCTTTGTTCAAGGTACGTGTTCAATCCCATCTCCGTAGTCGGCGGAGCTTTATCGTACCGCCCCAGAAATATGTATCTCCACATCTTCAACCCCCTTCAGAAACAGCATACGAAGCTGATCGAGACGCGCTTACCGCTCAATTTGATGCGGCGGAAGCATTGCTCCGAGAAATTCAGGCCGAATCATCCGCCATGCGAATGACAGTTGAGCAACAGAATGACAAGGTAGAGAAAGTCACCCAGGACGTGGAAGAAGTCGTGAAAGAAATGAGAGAAAGCGATGCGAAGAGCAAGGATGAAATGCGCGAAATAAGAGAAGAGGTTAACAACATTCGCGAGATGCTGCCTAAGGTATATACACCATTTGCTATTTGGATATGAAACTCAATTGTCCATTGCAGATGCTGGATAAGAACAAAGAAAGTCAATTACAGACATTTGCTGAGCTGCAACAAGAGTTGAAATCGCTTAAGGCGCTACTTCTCAGTCGTGGGCCAAGTACGCCTAGTGGCTTCTCAACCCCAATCATTCCCAGCAAGCCATCGATTCCCTCATGGCAGCTTGTCAGTGCTCCTCAGGTCCCCAATCTGATGAGTAACTCCGCACCAGCATTAGAGCCGCTGGGCCCGCCTCTTTCGCTACCGAATGGCAAAGGAAAGGAAGTTGAAAATTTGACCGACAACCTCCAGACTGGTGCTCCTAATGCATAACCCACCTGACACTCACCTACCACTCTTTTCGAACACTGTACGTTATTAACTAGGATGTCTGTTCATATAATGGCAGAAAATTGACACTTGGCATGTGGTCAAGGAACTGTCTGCTGACTGCTCGTTTTTGGATAGAGTGCCACCCGCAATCCCAAAACTCATTCCATCGCACGTTGTTGCGCAGAATAAGCTTGTTTGTATCGTGTCATGAAACTCGTGTCAACAACAGACAGTCTTAGGTGATATACATGAATGTAAGGTGATACATATGAATTAGACTATCCCCACAGAGTCCTTTTATGACGAGATACCTGCATCGCGACGAGATCCTTGCCTGGAATTAAATGACATGCCACTGGGGGGTCTAGAGGTCATTGGGCTCTGATATCCCTGGGCGCCGGTCTCAACATGCAGCCCACCAAACTGGCTCTCTGTGCGGCCATTTCTGAACACTCGACCTGCAATAGCGACGAGTTAATGAACATAAATTGCAGCGATCTAAAACTGTACAACATACTTGCAAATGGACGAGCCCTGCCTCTTGCACTTCGTGTCGTAGTCTGTCCGGGTGATGGCCCTGAAACTGAGGACTGTTGTGCGTTGTAGGACCGTAGTTCGAACAGGAGGTCGCCTCGAGCGTTGAATACAGGATTCGCAAGACAATACGCATGTAATCCCGGATAACAAGATTGCCACATGCCCTCGAATTGCTTGAAGTCTTGCAAAACATCTTTGAAGTCGATCATGGTCGGCAATAAGTTTTGGATGCTTAGGGCGCCATCGAGATCATTGTACATCATCGCTGCCAGATCTCCGCTGTATGCAGGCTTCGTGAATATAGGAGAAGTTGAGCCGGTGACCGTTGCCTTGATCCCGCCTGGTTCAGTATGCAGCACTAGGGAAGCACTCCACTTCGCTGATGACTTCGCACTACCAGGAATATCGGTAAGAGAATTGTATGCGTCCAACCAAAAACTCAACTTACCTTCCTGTGCGAGTATCGGTCCCATACGTGACATGAAGTGTGACTTCTCCTCCCACCGTAATTGTCATGGTGCCACTTCTGATTGCGGCAGGAAGTTCTACATAATTACGGGTAATACCTATCGCGCAAAAACAGTCAGTAATCCATATCCGAAATCATCGAATGAACTTACAAGATACCGAATATTCTCCCTGAACAACGCCGCTTCCTTTGTGTTCATAGGTGTACGACACTTGATGTTCCCATTTATATCTATAGGAGACGTCCACGTCCAGCCTCTCCGGGGTCCAGGGACATCTCTGACCAGTCCTTTGAGGGTCGTGAGCCCAGGTCGTAAATGTAGGCTTCCATACGCCTTTGTCGTCGATATGGGTCATGACAGGCACGATTGTCGTTACAGCGTTAATTTGAGCCAGAAGCACAAGCAAACCTTTGTCAAGCAGAATCTCACGAGACAAAGCGAGTGTGCTTGAGGAAACACCTTCGCTAACGCGGACCACCCAATTCGCCGAGAACTGGAGATGCGTTGAGGGCATGGGCCGGAATCCTGTCATACCCAGTATCAGGATGACCGGTTCCATGATACTTGACATGGCCTGTAGACAATTCTGGCGAGTTACAGTTACGTCCGAATAAATCTGGAATTCGGCTTGGGTCAAAGCATACGTCGGAGGCAAGGTCCCGTGATTCCAGATTGGAATGGTATGGAGGATGCTGAATCCCCATTGATGCAATGCGGGAAGGTAGGAGCGGCGCACGAGGGACAATACGGCACGCAAGCTTTCGATGGAGCGCCGAGTTGGGGCTCGGAGCAGATCGTCGAGGCGCGAATATTCGTGTAAAAATTCAGCATCTGAATGAGGAAACGTAAGTCGGAGATAATATAATTTATGTGCGTCTGACTGACTCATGAAGTCCAGGAAGATATGGTTGAGGGTGCAGTCCTGCTGATCACCATATTGTTTGAAGACCGCGGAGTCTGTCTTGAACGATGAAGACGAGTCCTTGCTATACATTTCAGCGAATGTTGCAATCTTGATGTTGACCTCGAAGGCGAGCTGCCAATTCTCGAACTCATGCCGGTCGCTTGCGAAGGTCGCAGGCTACAATCAGCCCAAAGAATATTATTTGATACAAGCTGAATAACTTACTCGGCTGCAGAAGGTTGGTCACCCGTGGGCTCCAATTTCAAAGCTTCCAAGTTGATCCAAATGATCGCCCGACGGTTGCTCAAGATGCGCACAGTCCACGGCTTGAAAGTAGCGGAAAATGGTCCGGAGGACCAGGCATACAGCATGCCCCCCTTCTTGGACGTTTTCGCAACATGCCAGAGACTCCTGAAGTAAGAATTGATGGAGGACTGTGAGACGGCAGTGACTTGATCGAAACCGTGCATTTCAGTCCTCGTGATCATCGACTTCCAAGATATGAACCTGTTGCTGGAGGGACCAGTTGTCGACTGCTCCAGCTCCCAGGATGAGAAGTCTTCTTCGTTCACACTGTCGCCGTTCAGTATGTGGTAGACAGTCGTCGTCGACCAACGGGAGTCGTAAATCACGAGTCGACCCATGGTCTGCATGACGGAGATGTACTCGTCCAAGAAGGCCTCCAGAAGGCTATCGGTATACGATACGGCAATATCGTCACCTTCATCCACGGCGAGCAAGGAGAGCTCTTCATACACTCGAATCTCTAATAAAATAATTAGTGGCTGCTCGACAAGCTAACAATACAACGTACTCTCGGTGTCGATCTTGCAAAATATAGCCCCATCGACCTCATCGATGCGAATAATCTCGGTCATAAGAGCGATTTTCCACCCAGCGAATTTGTGCGAATGTTTACTAGTAACATAGCGTGAGAATGGACAAGCATACTTGGTAGGTCACATACCGATCGACCGCGGCCTGAATATCGTTATAGAATAAAACCTCTTCTAATGTGAATATTATCGTGGCTTCCTGTGCGCAAACCGCAGTAAGGGTTGGTGCTCCGAGCTTCGCGTGAAAATGAACGTCGGAGCCCATGTGCTGATAATTGTTGAATGTACTCCGGTATTCCGCAAGAGATATTTCTCTCCAATCGTGTATTTCATCCACGACATCGACAGTTTGCATCGCCGCCTTCAGCCAATTGGAAGACAACTGGGTATTGACCAGATCGACCGAAATTCCTTGGATTTCGTCAAGGTCGGGGAAGGCATTTCCCATTGAGGAATAGTCAATGAGTAACCGCGAGCGACCATCCTCATCAAATTCAGGTAAAGAGAAGAGGACATGATGTCCAGCACTATGCAGAAAGACGAGATATTTACGGAGATAAAATTCGAGAGCGGCTTCATTGATGTTACTGTCCTTGGACGAGGGAATGAATTTGGCCTCTAGAATCAGATCAGTAAACATTGGCTTTACGGCAACTTGGACGGCGACAACTCACTCGGCAGATCTAAGACGAGGAGTCGTATTACACTTTTCCCAATCCCGATCTTCGAATCATTCCCAGTGATGGGTCGAACATCGAATGCTACACGAAAACTAATCTCCACGTCGTTGAGCGCCTTCGTGCGGTCACTGTATTTAGTTAGTCGCAAATCATACAAACCGATGGCAGAACAGTAGTAAACACACCGATCAGGATAGAACGGACCAGGTGCTTTGGCAAAGTCGAGGTAGTAGTGGCCTTCTTTGATTGTGAGGTACAAAATGGCATCGTGATTACAGATAAATTCAAGCCTAGGTGTGTCAAAAGAAGCATGAAACATTGACGTTTGTCCTCCAGAGCCTTGCCGAACAGAAAGACTGCCAAATACAAAATCTGCGAAAGCATGCCCATAGCCTTCATAGCAAATAATCGTCAGTCAGAAGTTGTGACAGAACGATATAAGCTGAAATAAAACGCACGATAACGGTCTTCAGACCTATATGCATTCTCATGCTGGTCGAAACACTCGACAGCGTTGATGTGATGCGCATTTAGCTGCGCATTTATATACGTTACAGATTGAGAAGCGCAATTTTCGCCGTAGCACATAATGCCGTGGCCTTTGGTTGTAGAAGGCGAAAGCGAAGGGGAAGGAAGAGGCTGAGTGTAGACGTTATTATGTAGCGGCCTTTATAGCAAGCAAGGTAGGCGCCGAGGACAATATGCAGGTAAGGCCGAGCATTTTGGGAATCCAAAAATTTTCGACGCCAGAGAAAAGGTCAACGAGGATGTGGCTTGATGCAACATGTCATCAAGAGTTATCAAAACGCACGGCATACACATGTATGAGCTTCCATCCAAAGTCACATAATTGGTGGAAGCCATCAATGTGAGGATGTCGAAGCTTCACTTCCTGAATGCTTATCCAGTCAGATTACAAGATTCCATGTATACACTGTGTCTTTAATCCCATATCCGTTCTGGTAGCTCACCGTGCTGCAATCCGGAAGGTACTGACCATTTCTTCGATCATGTACAGACGACAGCTCAGATTTGTCAGAGTTCGCGCGGAATGTCCGTGGAATACAAGGGGGTGCGCGATTCTTAGAGTAGTAGCTGTGTACGACCTCGCAAGACTGAACGCGGCCAACAAGACCGTCAGGTTCTCCAAGGAGAGACAGTTGGCTCACGATAACATGCTATCGTTGCCGCAGAGATCGAAGTCGCCTAATTTCGGGTCGGAATCAATTCCGTCGACTTGGCATGACCCAGTAGAACCGACGGCTGTGATCGATGGCACAAGTGAATTGGGATCCACACCTAGGCTGCGTGGTGGCTCAAAACCTGCAGCATAAACGTCCACTGCGTATGGTAGGACATCACCACGAAGCCTGTCAAAGATATCCTTCCATTCAGATGGAGACGAACTACTGGAGTACCGCAGCGCATCATGTGGCATGCGGATAATTGTCATTTGGCCATGCGGTGTCGCTTTACATCGTAAGACGGTCGAAATGCGTCAAGAGATAGGAGCAAATAAATGAATTCGAGTCCAGCCAGGGTTGAACGTTGAATCAGAAGATTCCGAATCCCCGAGGTTAGTAGAGAATTAACTGGTCACATGCCGTGCTTCAGCTTCAGCCGATCGTGGTGGCGGCCCGCGGGCGTATGTGCAGTGGCACGGCAACCGTGGCGGACCCCAGCTTGCCAAGTCTGCAGCCTGAGAGCGAGCGCGGACACACCGCGCCGCCAGCTCTTTATACACTCGCCGCCAAACCCTGATGTTCTCCCAATGGCGCCAGGCCGTGGAGAACTTGGCTCAGCATCCTCCTAGACAAGATTCGGCGGATGAACGCCAATCCAGGTCGTCTCTCGACACTGGCCTACGCGCATCCCTCTCGTCCGCCCAGCTTGCTGAGTCTGCCCTTAGCAACATCAAGAAAACACTAGCAGCCCAACGCTCAGGGAGTCCTAGTCCCAGTCTCAGCCACGCATCCCATTCACCGGGTGCGGACATCGGCCCCAAGCGGCCTGCATCCCAGTCTACGACGCGGACGACCCTAGAGGACCGGCTTCGCGCAAAGTTTGCTATTAGCGACAACTCAAGCTCCCCAACTCCTGTCAGCTCTTCTGGATCGTCCCCAAGTCTGCGTGTTGTCATAGACCATCCACTCTCTCCGACCTCTGCACCACTACCCGAGTCGCCTGCACCTCAGCGGGTTGGTAGCGCAGACCCATTCGATGCGCTCTCGAAAGTCCGCCATTTCTCGCCTACTGCTTCGGTTGATGATACGACTTCAAACGTTTCCGCTTCACTGCCCGCGGCTCGGGGCCCTACTTTCCAGACCCCGCCGTCTCCTGCGTTAATACCATTGCCTGACTCTCCTGCACTGGCACCCACGGCTGAGTCCCCTGTTCCTCTAGATTCGCTTGAGTCGCAGTGCAACAGTGGGGGCGATTCTGCTATCTCTGTGGACCAAGGTGGGACGGACGTAGTAGTTCTTGACGAAATAACTGGTGATGCAACCAAATCTGTAATCAATTACGCCTCGTTGCAGGATCATGTTGTCGGAGTTGTAGATGACACGCATGGCGCTACAGTCTTCCAGCAAGATCAGCATGTCAAAGATTCCGGGTATGCTCCTACTACGATTGCCCTGCCCAGCTCAGTGGAAGAGCACGACGGCCCAGGTGATCTTTCGCCAGGCCGGTCCACTATCGAGGCAGATGCCAAGGAATACGTTCCGGATGCACCACTGGACACTATAACTACAGCGCAGGGGGCCAAACATATTCGTGACGCTCAACCGATACCAAGTAACCAGACGTCGCCGCATGACTGGACGGGGAGGACAATCCCTGAGGATGTAGCCTCCAAAAGCAGCGAGCCAAATGTCGAAGAGCTGCAGCGGCGGCTCAAGCTAGTAGAGCAACGATTCGCAGGTGTGTTTATTTCCCTTGACTTCGTCGTTTATTAGTACCAAGCGGTGATGATACAGACGTGTCGACATCTTTCAAGAGACTCCAGGCGGAGAAGATTGCTGCTGACAAAGTTGTGAAGGAGCTGACGCCGCTAGAAACGTTGAAGGATGTGGACGCCCTACGTGACTATTTACAGAACGTCAATATCAAGACAGAGGTGTGTGGGTTATTCGCTGAATCAAGTTTATGACACTAAGTCCTCTCAGATGGCACAGGACGAGATAAGACGTTTGTCCGGCAAACTCACTCGTGCGTACAAGGGGTTTAATCTTCTGAGCCCTCAAACTGACCTCGTCGGTAGGGCAAGAAGAACGCATCGACGAATTACGAGAGATTCACAGACTAGAATCTAAATCGCAATCCGATCAGATTGAGAAGCTCAAGGGCCAGGTCTCGGAGTCGGAAGCGCTTCTTAAGGCTTCACAGAGCTCAAATGTCCAAGTCGAAGAAGAGGTACTGAAGTGGAAAGCCGAAACCGAACGTTTGCAGTCTGAGATGGAGCGTCTCAAGGGTCTGTCGAAAGAGGAGGAAGAGAAGCGAGTTAAAGCTGTTGCACTCCTCAAAACTGTGCGACAGAAGCTAGTCAAAGCTGAGAAAGAGAGGGATGACGCGATTAAAGACACCCAGCAGATAAAAGAGAAGGACAAAGAGGAGCTGGAGAAAGATAAGGCGGAGAAGCTGGAACTCCGGCAGGAGATAGAGAGAGCGAACACAGAGCACGAGACGGCTCTGGTCGGACTCAAGCTACACTTCGAGAAGGAGTCTGTAATGCTGAAAGATCGGCAGGAGAAGGAGCTCTTGGCGGTGAGGGGGCAGTATGAACTGGAGGCGCTCGCAGTCAAGGTACAGGTTCGACTGGAATGACAATGGCAACTCCCGCTCATGGCTGTTTACAGAGTTCTTACACTCGAGAGCTGGAAGTCAAAGACTCTCGCATCAGGGAACTGCAGAATTCGGTCCGCGTCCTTAACGAGGAAAAAGACGAGTTCTTTGACCAATTGCAGCTACGACAGGCGGAACTCGAATCTTCAAGGTCTCGTTTAGAAGTTCTGGAAGGCCAGACGACAGAATTTCAGTATCAACTCCGGGAAGCTAATGATCGTATAGCCCTATTATCTGAAGAGCTTGCGGATGCCCGTCGCGAACAAGACATTAGGCCTCAGAATGCCGGCCCTTCGGCGGAAGAGGTGACTCGTCTACTCTCAGCTGCTGAGGCCAAATACGAGACTCGCATGGCTGACATGCGCCGGCGCCTGAGCGCTGTGGAGAAAGAGCGGGACGAGGGTGAAGCTCAGTGGAGTCGTAAGCTATCCGAGAAGGTGAAGGAACTAGAATCGCTGAGAGGAAGTCTGCATTCGTCAACAAGAAGTCGCGAGGAAGAGTCGGAGAGTGCAAACGCGCTCAGGAAGGAAATCCAGGGGCTGAAAGGAGAGATTCTAGCGTATCAACAGCGAGTCTCTGATCTACAAGTACAAGCTGACACAGTAGCGGAAGCGGAGGTGCGTAACAGTCGCCTACGTTTTAAAATTATGTCCTAATCATCCAATCGTAGAATGCGACTAAATCAGAGATAGCTGAGAACAACGCGCGAATGCTGGCCTTGCAGCAGACCATTGAAGAGAGCAAAAACAGAGAGGCTCAAGTTCGCGCGCATAACAAGGTGCGCAAGTGCTTGGTCGTATCTTCCTTTCTAACAACTCGAGTTAGACGCTGCGGGAAGAGCTCCGAAAGGTGCAGTCATCCGCTGCATTACTTGAACGGCAGCGAAACCCAGGCGTCGGTTATTGGGCCTCCCGTCAAGAGAACACCGCAGATGCTCGCTCACCGAGATCATCCATTTCTGAATCGTCACCACAAGACCATCCTTCTAGACCCGGCTCTCCGGCTACGCCAAAGTCGGATGAAGATCTCAATGTTGAATACTTGAGGAATGTCATCTTACAGTTCTTAGAGCACAAGGAGATGCGGGTGAGTTCCATTCCTGCGATTACGACAAGAAGCTCTCAAAGCCAATATTTTATAGCCTCATTTGATACGGATTTTGTCCACGATTCTACGATTTACACCACAAGAGACGAGAAGACTGATATCCAAAGTATGACCACCTATCAACGTACTTTGTCTAATACCCGCTCCATAAATTATTCTCCCTCTCAATTCTGCACCATCATACGTACTTACAATGCTGTCACATCAAAGTGTGGTTTTGTTTATCCTACAAAATGAACAGTTCTCCGTTCATGAATTGAACTGCCCGATTGTGCGTTTTTGCAGGTGGCGTGACTTGAGCTTGAGATCTTGAGACCTTGAGACCTTGGATTGAGATTGTAGATTTAGCGCGAATCTGTTAACTTTATAGTTGGCGCTCAGCTCGGAGAACAGCCGACCACTTGGCACTTCATGACCATACAATGTCTTTGAGTGAACTGACTCGTAATTCTTTCCAAAGTGGCGTCTCAGCGAGGAAGGCAAGTGCATACATAGTCTGATTTGTGAGCTGAACTTAGTTATACTGGTAGTGGGTGAACTTATGCAAGCTGTTTCTATCAAACGATCGCACTCAATATCCCACCGAAGATGTCCAAGCCGAATTAATCAGTTGAGTACGCCCATTCATTCAGTACGAGATTTCCAACTGGAATATCTTAGATTCCGTCCTTGTCCTGTTTCGTAACTACCCTGGCGATCCGGGATTGCAAGGTTATCTGAAGCGCGCCGTTGAAGACCAGCTATTGACTCTGTCGCGACTGGTATCCACATTCTTGTCCGCAGCTCGATCGCCAGAATTGCATAACCCTGCAACGCTTGACATGCTCTGCAGAATCGCTCTTGACTCGTATTATGCATCTGGGTTGCCAGCCATGGGTTCCATCGTGCCGTACACCCAGTCAAACATGGAACTCTTAGGGACCGTCCAGGACTCCATGGCTTTGCTTAGGACAGCACACACACTTCCACTGTCACAATTCAATCAACTATTTGCCTCGGCCTCAGAATTGCTTTCTTTGCTCTTGTCCTGCGTCGCTGATATTTCTCAAATTTCAACGACACAGGCAATGATGTATTTTGCAGAGGCTAGTGACGTACTTCAGGTGTTGCGATTGCCACTAGGCGTAAGGCAGCAGCTCGAAAATTTCGCGCTCTCCTTGAGCCTTCTGTTGGGAGACGACGCGAAGGCCATGCGCGAAGCGCAAATGATGCACACGCTTCAGTTGGGTATAGAAAAGAGTGATTTACTAGGGTCGACATCAGAGACAGATATAATATCGTGCAGCCTGGTTTTGCACAGCTTCGTAAGTAATTCTTGATTGTCAATAGCAGAAATACTGATTTTGCTAGATCTTCGGTAGGGCTGGTGAATTTGGCGCGGGGGCGAGCGATCATGCAGTTGCAGTGCTTGTGGGATTATTTCGCTGGACTTCCTGGACTCCCGTTGTGTTTTACACGCAGCTACTCCACTCTGCACTCACCTGCATCGCTCAAACCTTAGCTAGCCTGGCGTCATCCAGAACTTCGTTGATATGGAGGGCTCTCATTGTCGGTCGGGTAGGATAGAATTCAGTGCCTGAAGTTACGAACGTGATGCTAATTGTTAAACTCCAGCTTCCTCATCTCTTTAGCAGATTTCAGAAGGAAGCAGAGACGGAGAGCGGTACAGATGCAGACTGGGTAAGTGTTCACTTTGTGTAGATGTTATTTTGTGGCCAACAATATCCAGCGTACAGCATTGCAGGCAGCCCTGTCTTCCGTGCTACGCCGATCAGACATCCTGAGCAAGTACGAGACTAGCTCCAATAGCCATGAAACTGATCTCGGTAAACCGAGAACGTAAATTTTGTATGAAACATCATCCCAATGAGACTAACAAACATTGTATAGGTCTTCCAATCTTGCCATAGAGCTTCTTCACGAATTTGTCACGGTTGGATTGGTCGATGCTTCATTTGCAACGACACTTTGTCCTACCTTACAAAATGACTTCCACTCTCCTCTTACAGTCGAGGCGCAAGATGCCGGTTCGGATGTAAGAGTGCGCAAAAATTTCTCGTCTATGGTCACTTTTTTTTTTCTTCTGACGGAATTTTACAGTCCTATCTGGAATCGAAATTTGCCTTCGATGCCAATTTAGATGATATAGTTAGCGCAGTAGATAGAATTTGCCGAGACCCATGCAGCCATTCTGTGTTCGCTGATATTGTGCTCAAGGTGACTTGTTTGTCTTATTCATTTTAAACAAAGTCCGACCTTTACACAGCGATGCACTCCATCCCCTCGCCCGCTTGAACTTGATTCTCTGAGCCAGATGTCTAGAGTTTTGACTCGGTGTGAACCTGCATTAGACATCATTGCGCTCCATGTCAACATTCCCAATTTGATAACTCATGTCCTAGCCTTTGTTGAAGATTATGATTGTGAGACTGTCGGTACGTGCCCGTTTGATTGTGCTGATCGTGGTTAATAGATGGCTTTCAGGTGATCCCCAGACCGCCGTCAGTCACTTGGGTGATGTTGTCCTTTTTGTCCAGGAAGCTGTCGCTCGTTTTAACGTGAGTAAGTGCTGCTGCTATCATTGAAGGGTGACCACTCAACCGACACAGTTTTCCTATCCGACTGTAACTCTGGGGGATCGGAAATTGGATCTAGCCGTCATTCGCCCCACTGCCGTCGTCTACCCAGTCTCTCAGCTGGGGCACGATTCAAACGTATTTTATTTGTGGTTCAAGGCCCTCTTCGATACAAACAGCGAAGGCATAGAGGATACGATTCTCAGGTAAGATACGTATAGTTTTATAGTGTCTTAATGCAAATCGATAGTGCAGGACCACTCGTCCTCAGGCTCTTCTTCGTATAGCTGCGACTTTATTTTCGCATGCTATCGCCATGACCACTGAACGAAAAATGGACAAGGAAATCTTGCAGAATGGCATCTTGTATTTTCTTGGCCCGCTTCTCAATTGGACCCTCTCTGGGGTAGTAAATTTTCTAATCATGGAAATTCAGCATAGGGGGTTCGTAGTTATGGATTTTGCTTTCGTGTCGCACAAATTGACTTCCTACAGATTCAATGCACCTGTTCACATAGATGTATTGCAGACTCTATTGTCTTCATCATCTTGCCCTCCCACGGTCCTTCGCCTCTCTGCTTCAAAAATCCTCAGGTTGTTCCCTAACTCACCCAAGAATGAATCGGGCCGCATGAACTCCCTGGACTTTACGGCCATACGACATGTTGCCATGAAGGGTTTAGGCGTCCCTGTTGAAGGTGACCCCATGGAATATAATGGAGGCCAAAACATCATCTGATTCAACTACACTCACAGGTAAATCGGACCCTCCACTCTCCCTCCACGCTCAGCCTCCTGGTTGGTCCGATCTGTCGCTACGGTCTGTTAGAGACGCACTTACGGCCGCAAGGAGTGGGAAAGCACCCGCACTCGACATCGATCGTTGTCTGCTGCTCACCCCACCAGCGAAGTTTCTGCACATGCTATGGAAGGAGCTCATGGTGATGGCGTCTCTTGGGGAAATCGATATATCCAGGCGGATCGCTACGTTCGTCTTGACCATGCCTCGCCGCTCTCATTCACCTCCGCTCTTGCCCATATTTCTCCACGTCCTCCTTCCGGGACTCGTTGCCGCAGCTGACAGCTTACCCTCCTCTGACCCGACCGTCACTGTGGAATTGCTCGTGACAGTCGTATCATCTTCTTTAACTGCAGCTCTCCACCTGGAATATGCTTTGCTCAAGACCGACAAAGAACATTCCCCAGTGCTAGGACAAACAACGGCAGCGATGGCACGTCGGTTAGGAAGCGATCTGAGACGTAAGGGACACGGTCGAACAGCTGCATTGATTGTTCAACGACTATGTTCTATATCAACCTTCATGACGAATTTTCCTACATTCATGGCTGATGTCTAATATGGTATCAAAGGGCGTATATTAGTCAAGCAAGGCTATAATACAATGGATAATATGCCCAGAGTATGCTAAACATCGAATGTAGGCGGTGCTGTGAAGCGTTGAGTACCGGAGAATATATTGTAATCAAAACATGCACTTACGACAACAAGCGTTCTCAGAAGGGTCACATGCTGCGTCGGGGGGGCACATAATAAGACATGACGTTGCTCGGGACGTCTGAAAATGCCGGTCAAATTGCGGTATCGAAAATAGCTTCAAAGATATTACTGACCCTTATTACGTCTTCTGGTGGAGAGTTGCGAGGGTTGTGATACTCCGGCTGTATTGTGCTCGAATGTATACCTTGGTGATGTAGAGCCTTTCTGATCTGTGCCGCAACGGGCATAAAGTCATGGTTTCTTGACGCCATAACGTGCACAGAAGCAACTATTTTGGTTTCTGATAGTTGCCAGATATGTAGCTCGTGCAACGACAGGACCCCTTCGACGGCCAAGATGGCCTCTTTCACCTCTTCTATAGACACTGTGGACGGTACGCCTTGTAGAAGGATGAAAGATGTACTGCGAACTGTAAGCCATCCTCAGTCACGACCGAATTCACGCCAACAACGGGTCAGTACGCACCTAATGGCAAAGCAGAAGAGAAAATAATGACAGTGATTACCAAACTGATGATTGGATCAAAATAGTATTTCCAACTCCAAGAGGTGCGCCAGATAATGAGACCAGTCGCGATGACACCGACGTTGCCTAACGCATCTCCTAGTACATGGAGTAGAAGTGCATGCATGTTCATTGATCCATGACTGTGTGAGTGTCCATGACCACTAGCCCCGTGACTGACGCTTCTCTGCGGTGAGTGGGGATTACTATCGGCAGGGGATGACAGGAGCGGCGTCATTTCGTCGGTTCGTGGACCATCGCCTGACGAGGAATTGGCTGCGGTGTCGTCATTGTCCACTCCGCTCACACCATAATGTTCTCGCGAGCGCGACCGACGGCGTGACTTGGCCCGACGACCACTCGGAGAGGGCGACCGAGCAAATGCAATGTCTTGTGCTGCTTGTACAAGAGATGCTCGCGTAGCAGCTGGATGGCCATACAAAGATGAATAGGAGTCCGAGCGGGTACGAGTACGAGGCAAAGTAATGTTTTTCGGTACAGCAGAAACCTTGGGCGCGTCTTCCGTTCCGTCCGCAGAATGGACACTGCCTGGTTTCGATGCAATACTTTCCTTGCCGTGGGAATGGCTATGGCCGTGCTCTGCAATAAGGTATCAGAAATGAAAAGCGAATAGCGAATACTTGCAACAGACCGTGAAACAGGAAAAGCCCTACTACATTCGATGCAAGACCCAACGAGCCAACGAGAACCACAAGACTCGGATTACTGATTTCTATTAGCATATGCATGTTAATCCGGCCCCTCTAAGCATTCGGGCTATGCACTTACCTGGAGTGCTGAAAAATCGCTCGATAGCTTCCAAGAAAATGGAGAAACACAGTGCGAGAAGGAATACACCGTTGATCAGGGCAGCAAGAATTTCGGCGCGATGCCAGCCATATGAATACCGAGAATCGGTGCTCGTTTGATTTGTGAGCTAAAAGACTGGACTGTAAGTTACGGGTACCTCAGGCTAGATCACATCAAGCAGAATTTATACCTTGATGGCGTAAAGAGCAACAGCCAAACTCATGACATCGCTGCGAAATTTGTCAATAACAACTCATTTGTATACAGCAGGAGAGTACGTCTTACTTCAGCATATGAAAACTATCCGCGACAAGAGCTAGTGAGCCGACGGCATATCCTAATGAGGAGCTCAACAAGGGTTGCGTTATTATCGCCATACGCAACCGAACTCACCGGCGATAAGCTCGACAAAGAAGAAGAAAACATCTATGACAAGGAGCAGAATTATACGATTAGAGCGATTCATGGTGGTGAATCGGAAGGGCCGGAATCCTTGCGGTCCCAGTAGGTCTATCATTCTATGACAGCTGGGCGCCACAATGGCACAATCGGCAAATGTCACGTTCAGAGTCTCAGGTGACAATTACGTAACTATTTGGCGCCGATCCGTCGCCGTGCCACTTGCTCTGACCCAGAGTTTCGCATCGTTGGCTATGTCCACTACTCAGCCGCCTTGCGACTATTACTTGGAATTTAGAAGGTGTGGCGCTCTTGGGTGACGGTAATTGAGATGGCATCCACCGAGTGCAACGCCTTGGCAAACGAACTTGGTCATATTGAAGTTTGACCAGAGAAAAGAATGAAGTGTAGGTGTCTAATTCATTCAAAATGCTAGGTGGAATCCAAAAGATTTGGCAAAGTTACAACGACCTCTCATATCGATGTCAATGAATGTGAGCCGTCTTCTATTCGAAGTTTTAGCATAACATGAGGCTTTGTCAGCGCACGCCTGCTCTTTATATGTACGATAGGTTTGTAAGGGTTTACGTGTGGCTTAGTTTCCAAAGTTCCCTTCGGCTGACGACTCCTTTTCCTGCCAGCTGCTAGTTGCCCAGATCTGGCTGGACGCGCCGGCCAAGTCGCCTGCTGACTACAAAATGAAAAGAATGGACCAGCACCCTGACCTTGCACCCACGCCTCGGTGGCAGAACTGCTTCAGTCATAGCCCAAAGGGTGGTAAATTTTACATGTGTTGTTGACCTGAGAATGTATGGACATCCAGAGCCAATACGTTGCAGCGAATTGAATTCTTATCGATTGCGATGTTCGCTGGTCAATCAAAGTTGGGTGGTGTGCTCCTTGACATTGGGTAATTTGTCCCACTCATACGTCAACAAGAATTTCTCGGGCCGGTCTCCCCTCAAAAGGGCCTCCCTGTGGGTCATCCAGGTGATCAGACTTCGCCGTCAAGTAAGCCCAAAGTTTGAGGATGTTGTAACATTATCCCAACTGTGTGACTGTCGGCTCTCCGGAAGGAACATTCAAGCTGGTGTATGCAGCGACGGCTAAATATCCAGTCCTGCCTGTGCATCACTTGAGCGTTGACAAGTGACATGATGCCTCCAGAGACTGTACCGTGCGGGACGAGATGAAGCTACTTATGCATCAGAAGTCATAGCGGGTAGGCCATCTCTCATTCATGAACAGAGCTGCAAATTGACATTCTGCAAGCTCTCGTACGGGTCGTGATACCGTTGCCGTGGGTCTGGCCCCGGATTACAGTAGGTCATAGCGCGAACCCACGATAATACGTCAGTTGGATCTATTTACTACGTATCCTATTTCATGGAATGTCACGCGCCCGGAGATGACAACGACAGTCCGAGATCTGGTTGCCAGTGGCTGAAATATCCATAGATGTTGGCGCTTGCCTGCGCTAGCGTCGTGTATTCGGGGCAAATTCGAAAGGAAGCTAAGTAGTGTTCGTATACGAATGCATCAAGAGTAGTAGATAGATAAGATGATGGAAGTAAATAAGCCAACACGAATCCCTAGTTACCTTCATAATTTCCTCGCTCGATCCTATCGCGACGTCGAAAGCAGAGAAAATATTCTAGACCAGACAATAGGCATTAATATATAACCCTGATTGCAGAACTCGCTTGCCGGTTTCTCATTCAAGGTCGCACACGTACGTAGCGAGCTCCGTGGACGGAATGATGAAGGACCGTTCGGATTACTATCTGCTCATAATTCATACAGGGTTTGTGCTTTCAACCAACCCTACTGATATTTATCTAGGTATCTCTGAGTATATACAACAATTGTGTATAAGATATGTATTCTGTACCAGATACAGTATTATATAGCTATCTCATAGCATTGTAGATTCCCTGATATAATCCGATCCAACCATTAGCTGATGTGATCACGTGATGTATACGAGGTTTCCCAGTTTTGGTACGACCCGAAGCGCAAAGCCAATTAGACAGTCCTACTTACAGGACTTGCCCGATAACCTTCGAGCTTTAGGTCGAACGACTAACTTTCATCTTTCATCGCTCAATCGCTGATCCCGCCAACACTGGACCTCTCATTGACTCCCATTTCTCGAACGCAATGGCAGCAGCACCCTCCATGGCAGCAGCCCTCGCTGCCTCCTTGCCCGCACCTCAAGCGGCACCCACACCTGCTGCACCTATGCATGAAGCTATTCCGGCGTCGATGTCCAAGGTGATCGACATCGAGGCTGAGATCCCATTGAAGTGCGTACAACTGGACGGAATGGTGAGTCCAGTCTCCTCCGTCTCATCTCCTTGCCTCCTGTATGCGTCTCGACGATGCTACACGCCAGAGTCTGCACCCATCGGAAAGGTGTACGATTCTTCCTGCTGGAAGTCGCTCTGCATGAAAAATTTCTATCATGAGGGTATCAATTATGTCAGGCACATGGAGCTGACTGACTCGCCATGAAATTTTATTCTGGGGTTCGCCGATGTCGTGGGTCGGTCGGACGTTTTAGGTGGTCTCGAAAATCATCAAGCACTCCCGGGAAGCGCAAGGCCCCGCTGCTCATGGTCTCATTCTAGGCCTCGACCTTGACGGAATTTTAGAGGTGTCCAACTCGTTTCCTCTGCCAAATCACTCATCCGATGACGACGATAAGTCGGTAAAAGGTGTCGGTAAGTCACCTGCTTCTGTGGGTAATGCGCGTCGTGTCTGAATGAACGCGACTAGCTCGATACCAGGGGGCGATGCTTCGATCATTGAAGGAAGTGCAGGCAGACGACAGCGTCGTTGGATTTTACCAGGCCATGACGCTCGGTTCCTTTTTCAATCAGACATTGGTGGACACGCAGGCCATCCACCAGGAGAAGTTGAGGCATGGGGGTGTCGTAATAGTCCACGGTAATTGTGTGCACGTGTATCACAAAAGACAGGGTCTTACTATTCTCTCGCAAGATGTGTCGCAGGGCGCACGAGGAAACGCGTCTTTTCGCGCGTTCCGACTGACAAAGGCGTTTTTAGACGCGTACAAAAGAAATAATTTCAGTACACCGAGGTGAGCGCCGATTGGAGCAACTGAGACTAAGGCTAAATGGCGGCTGGTGCGCAGTTTAATCAGCCACCGGCTGACTTTCTCATCGATGCTGGAGGAGGTACCACTCAAAATCCGAACGAATGCCTTGCTGAGTTCCTTCCTGGGGACGCTGGCCGAAGTGTCCGGACCGTCGTTGGCCGACGCGGGCCCGTCCGCGGCGATGTCATCTGCAGCCTTACCACCCTCGTTTTCGGCGCTGGATCTGGGCTCGTCGAGCGTCTCGCGCAACTTGGAGCACATCATCGAGGCTGTGGATAGTTACAAGACAGAAGAAGGCAACCTAGCCTACCTACAGCGGCAGATTGCGAGGGAGAAAGCGCGGGCAGAAGCATACGTTGCGAAGCGGAAAGAGGAGAATGCCGGGCGAGTAGCGCAGGGTTTGGCGCCGCTTCCCGAGGAGGATGTGAGCAGGCTGTTCAAGGTGCCGGCTGAGCCCAGTCGGCTGGAGAGCCTGCTGCTGCTGGGCAAGATCGATGCGTTTGGAAAGAGCCTGGCAGAGACGTCGAGTGTTGGGTTGGTGAAGATGTACGCAGCGAAGGCGAGCTCGGGGGTATGATGATGATGTGTGTCTGTACCGAACACTGTACGAACAGAGATGATGCTGTCCGGGCAGCACATGGCTCGATGGGGGACAGAGGCCGGCATGCGACGCCGACACGCGCAACCCGGCCGGGTGCTGCGGCGATCGCTGGTGGCGTGGGACAACCTCCGAATCCATATTAATAACCGCTGAGCCCATTGTCTCTGTCCTCGTTGCTGGTGTTTTTTTTCAGACAAGGCGTCCTCCTTTCTCTCCTCCCAACTCTCCTTCCTCAAAGTCCCTCGCTTGCTCCCTCTCCGAGGCCTTTCTTACCCCCACACTCTCTTTGCAACGTTCTCGTCGCCATGTTTGTCCGCAACGTCTTCGTCCTCGTCGCCCTCGCCCTCACTGTGTCCGCGCTGTCGGTCCCCCACGTCGCCCGCAACCCCCATCACCATAGAGCCGTCGCTGTCCGCCACGCTGCCCCAGAGCCCGTGGCACAGCCCGAGAACGTCGTCGTTAAGCCCAAGCGCAAGAGGAGCCTCAACAAGCGCTGCCTTCCCAGCTCTAACTCGACTGCTACTCCTTCCATTGCGCCAACCACGTCTGCCAACGCGACTGCTTATACGTCGTCGATTCCTAGCAGTGCTCCTGCAACGTCAGTACCTGTTTCCACCACCGATACCCCGCTTCCTTCAATTCCTACTACTTCGGCGCTCACTACCACTGGTATTGACTCGACTCCCGTTTCTTCCCCGGTCTCTAGCAGCAGCCCCACTACGTCGTCCTCGCCCCCTCCTCCCCCTCCCACTACACAGGCTCCTCCGAGTACCCCCTCTTCATCGCCCGTGGAAGCTCCTACCACTTCCTCTACACCTCCCCCCCCTCCTCCTCCGCCCACTACCTCGGACACGCCGACACCCACCCCCACGCCGACTCCTACGCCGACGCCCTCTCCCACTTATACACCTACGACTACTGCGGCTGCCCCCCCGAGCGGGCCGACCTGGCTGACTGCCACGAACACCGGTGACGGTGGGTTCTGCTTTCATTCTCCACTCGAAACCATCAGGCTGATTTATTTGTAACCATTTAGCGACCTACTACGCCGCTGGCCTTGGCGCTTGTGGCATCACTAACACCGACTCGGACTACATTGTTGCGGTTTCTTGGGACCTATTCGACAACTATCCGTAAGTGACATGTATGTGACGTTGATGGTTATCTAAATAGTCTCCACGTCAGTGGCTATGATGGCACCAATCCCAACACTAACCCTGTCTGCGGCAAGCAAATCACGGCTTCATGTGCGTGATTAACCCCTTATTTTAGTTTCTATGCTCACTATTGCACTTTCAGATGGTGGGGCTGATGTTACTGTCACTGTCACCGATCGTTGCACGGGCTGTGACACGACTAGCCTTGACTTCACTCCTACTGCTTTCCAAGTCCTGTCGCCTCTCGCAGTGGGCCGTCTTTACACCATGACGTGGAAGTTCACATAAGTGTCTTCGTGTTACGAGCTTGTCAAGTTTTCTCTGCTTAATTTGCTACTGTTTATATTGTTTTTTATTGTGCTGTTTATGACAGTGAGCGTATTCCCTCAACGCCTGGGTGTTCCTTCTGATTCCCTTTGCTTGCGGAGGGACAGTTGGCTAGGAGGGGTGTTCCGTTCTATTTCACAATACATAGCATCGAGTATGCCTAGATACGGTCGCTAGCTCTGGTATGCTTGCGCTTTTCATGTCTGATTCATGTACATAGTGACTGGATGTCACTCGACGTATGAAACAATTGCAAAAATTTGACTTGCTTGGACGTGTCACAAATACAATTCTACGGCAAGCAGCGATATCGACACATCGCAACGGTAGTGCAGGAGACTCTGCCACTGCATGTACATGGGAGACTACAGAAAGCTCTTAACTGATGTCCAATACCCTTCCATTTCTGTACCGTCAACGAGCTCGCTCACAGCAGTCAACAAAACATAGTCAGCCCTGGCCAGGGAAGACAGCGAGAAGACGACATCCAATACCAGACGGCGCAGAGGTGAGGCAGATGGTAGCTTGATATAAGGACCGGACAGTTTGCCTCGCGTGGCATGTGTCATGATGAAGTAGGGTACCAGACGAGCGGATATAGATGAGACAGTCTGTGTAGTGCGGTGTATGAGCCCTTATATATGATGCAGTTATAGTAGACACAGACCTCCTCACGTAACAAGGGCGATCGGCGCTGACACAGTCGCAGGAGGACGCGGAGTATAATCTGCCCGGCGAGGCGGTCACAAAGCCGATCAATTTGACAGGATAAAGCGGCAACATACCTCCGATGTGGGCAAGTGGCTGGCACCGAGCTCCCACAGCGTTCTCGGCAGGTGTAGGATCCAGTCTGTGAGCATCTTATCTCCCTCTGAATTTAGCCCGACAGAGAAACTGCCATGATATTCGGGTTCCCTATCAAGCTGTGCGACAAATCAAGGGTGAATTTGAACCACGGTGCAAGGCACAAGGGCGAAACTTGCACTCACCAAAACCAAGCGCGCGAGAAAATCAACCGTGCATTTCTTCACGACGGACGTTGACGACGCTTTAATCGCGTGCTCAACTACTACCCGAAGAACCGCATCGGACATGTCTGACTCTCCGGGCAGTCGACGCGGGCTGTTGAGAAGAGACCATATGGTTGGCAATAGAGCCAAATATATCGTCGGCGTGATTGGCCGTGCCAGTGATGTCTGCGACGCTCCAGCCGGGACCTCACCCCGCAGAGTCTGAATAACATATTCACTGACGCGAGATACTTGTACGGTTGGGAGTGGTGCCGAAAAACCGTCGGCACGCGATTGTGCGGAGAAGCGCTGCCGTCTCCCTCGCACTGGTTTAATGCGCTGCTGACGGGGCGCCTGCGGGTTCGCAAGGACAAGGAACGATGTCAGTTCACAGTAAATGAGATTCAAATCCTGAAACGCTTGTTCGGCCTGCCCATAAAGTCTGAAACCAACCGAAAGATGTGATCGCAACCAATCGCACCTTGATGTCTCGTTTGACAAGATTTGATCCGCCAAGAGTGAAAGGAAAGTACGGAGTGAGATACCCCAAGATCTGTCGCAAGTCCTCGCCAGCTGAAGCTCGTACTGTGTCATCCTGCAACAGAAGAGCGTTTGGAAATGGAAATTGTGCGTGATGTCGTGGGGAGAACTCACTTCAGCGGGCTCACAAAATATGGTTCCGTAAAGTGTACGGCAAATCCCGCCCACGGCTAAGACCATCTGATACTCATTCTCCGCGGGAGGACTGCTGGGAGAAAAAACACTTGCTGCACAATCAAGGTATGTAGAGATTAACGTGGAATGAAGAGTACGAGCTAGATGCTAGAATGTAGATTAGTGTAATGGGCTAGCATCTGAATTTTCCTTAACAGCGCTTACCGCTGCGAATGATACTTTCGTACTCGAATCTTCGGACGTCCTTTTAGAATCTTGGATGTCAATATCCACGAGGTCCTGAAGCGTCCACCCCGCTCCGAGAGATGCGACGACATGTTCGAAATGGCCAAGGGAGCTTTCCAAATGAACATCCATATCAGCCTCCTCTGACCACGTCTGTGAGTGTTGCTGCCCGGATGAGGAGGCTTGAGTAGGATGGTGAGCTGGAAGTAGAAGGGTATCAAATGCTCGGAACGCTTCAGGGGACGAGAATGACGCTGATAAAAACCAGTTCAGGCTGGGTGTTGAAGACTCCATCCTACTAGAGCTTGCTGGGGACAATGCTTTACTGAAGAAGGATGTCATAGATCTGAGCACGACAAGTTTAGACTGCCGCAGGTAGGATCAAATTCAGTCGCAAAGTGTCAAAGTGTCAAATGCACATACCGCAGTAGATAAAACGACACTGGCAATGGAAGTCGCTCGGACTGGTCCAGTATCTAGAGGAGAGGGGTGGCATCAACTACATTCCTTATGACGAAGCCGATCACATACCTGCTCCTTCGCCAAAAGCGGTTCCAGCGTTGAGAATACCTAGATAGCCTTCTAGCACTCTGCTTCCGTGGCCGGCACTGCGCTGTGCCCAACCCTCTGTCACAACATCTGGAATAGTTTCAAGAAACATGTCCAGAAATCGGATGGCATCAATCCTGATTTCCGGGAAAATGTGCGTCTGCGCGGAAGTTGTGAACAAGAGAAGGACTGGCGCATGCGGATTTAGGTCATCCTGTTTGTAGGTTAGTCTCAGACACGAGGCGGCGGCGTGAACGGTTGTGAACATACAGCTGGGACTCGGTGAAGAAGCCACCCCAGGAACGTGAGCAATGCTTTCCGAACACTCGCATCCTGTGTAACATCATTTCACCAGCAGGTAGTGCGCGCACTAACTCACGCACCTCGTCACCAATTATCCGAACGCAGCTGTTAATCAGCGCTGTCAAATGGGGGGCGATTAACTCAGGATGTGCTTCCAGAAGTTCTCGGAGGCCGATGATCGCATCTGTCCCAGCGAGTCAGCTTGAACTCAATGGACAACAAAGCCAATAAGCCGGGATACTGACCCCTCCGTGTCCCTGTATTGTAATGTTTGAGGTGTGCAAGGAGATCATTAAGAGTGAGCTTTCTCTTGGTGGTAGGTGCTTCATCAGGCCTATCATGTGCGATGCTCTGTGAAGGCAGTGCAATAGCTATCTTAATTCTGCCTCAGGAATGGTCCTCGAGTTTATAAAGACAGATTCACTACTTACAGCGGGCCTTGAAGGAGGTGTCTACGGCATTGCTGGGCGCCTGTTTACCTTTCCCTAGCTTGAGCTTTGCTTTCTGTATATTGGAGGCTGTCAGTAGGCGAATGAGAAAATTCAGTATGTGTGCTTGCAGAAAAGTCGGCTGCTTTGTCTTTCTTCTTCTTGGAACTTTTGGGCATTGCAGCGAAGAATTCGCTAATCAGGAGTGTGAGCGCCCAAAAAGTTATGTTCTGTCTTCGCGTGCGCGTGCACGTGCGCGCGACTAGCCCCGGGGCCGATGATCGACGTGAGTTTCGGTTGATCGTTCAGTGTGAACTAGGCTCGTCGACTCCGAGTCGGAGCATCTCCAATGTGTGGTTTAAACGACTCAGACGATATGGACTGAATATCTACTCTCCCTTGAACTGCCAATAGCAGTGCATGGACTCCTCCTGTAATGCGGCCGTGTACCATACACATGCATCTCATTCGCCCATCACCATGCAATATTCTCGGCATTCACACTCTTCCTGCTCCCGCGCTTTTGGCGATATGATCTTGGTGTTTTCCCGTAGCTATAAGTACTACGTGCGGAATGACTGTCCACCTGACTGATGTCCGACATTCTACCGGATGAATTCCATCGCGTCGACGGTTCAGCCCCAGGTTGATCGTCCCCACAAAAACCAGCTGGTCCTATAAATTATGAGAACGACGGACTGTTGAATCTCAGCTGTCGTAGCTCTAGGGTTATACTCATGCGACTGTCAATCTCGTGCTTATTTGCTTCCTTTGCTTGCGCTGTCCTCGCAGATGCTGTAGGACGAGTCTCAACGAGGGGAGTGACGCCTCAAAAGCGCGAAGTACCCGCTGGGTATGTGACAACAAGTGGCGCCGGATTTGAGTTGGATGGAGAACCATTCGTGCGCCTCCCATCTTCCTGCCACTGCGTTGATTGGCTTCTTAAATTTCGCATAGTATTTCGTTGGGACAAACGCCTTTGTGCGTTGTACAATCAGAATCTTCCCGTTACGATATTGACCGAATATTCATTAGTGGCTGCCGCTGCTGATCACAGAAGATGACGTCGATGCTACCTTTCAGACTATGGCGGGTGCAGGCATCAAAGTCGCGCGAACTTGGGTATCTAAGCACACTCAGCGGACTGCTCGCCGTGCAGCTAAGATATTGTTTCATAGGCCTTCAATGCTATCAATGCCACGCAGCTTCCTGACGTGCTTTCCACTAACCTTACGTACTATCAAGTCTGGAACAACAGCGACTGGACCTTAAACGAGGGCCCGCAAGGTTTGCAACGACTTGACTACGTGGTCTCCGCTGCGGAAAAATACGGTATTCGTCTGATTCTAACGTTCACGAACAACTGGCAAGTCCCCTCAAGTTGGTCGTAGTGCTAACATTAACATTTTCAATGTGCAGGTTCGGCTATGGTGTAAGTATTCAATTTTGTTGCGGACCTATGTCTGAAGGTGCTTTAGGGCATGGAACTTTACATATATCACATACTCGGCAACCATGCCACTCATGATGAATTCTACACGAACCCCACTATTATTGCTTCGTATCGTGAGTCTTGTCAACTTCTTACAGTGATTTCTTTCCAAACATCCCTGCTTAGAATCTTACGCGCAAAGTATCGTCGAGCGTTACAAAAGCTCTTCCGCTGTTTTTGCCTGGGAGCTCATGAATGAAGCTCGTTGCGCCGGCGATAGCCTTCCTTCCGGACCCAACTGCGTTCCCGGCTCGGAAACATTGACAACATGGTACCAGCTTCAGTCCGACTTCGTGCGTAGTCTGTATGTGATATCAACACTGTCCGTGGTTTCTGCATATCAATTCAATATCACTTAGCGATCCGTACCATATGATCACGACTGGCGGTGAGGGCCAATTTTATTGGGCCGTCCCTGACACATAGTAAGTGCTTCTGTTTCGCTCAAAAAGTTCACGTTTTCGGCTAATCATGCATCCAGCTGGTATAATGGCACCCTCGTTAGCGATTTCAATTTCAACGGCGAAGGTAAAATAAGCACCACACTCTCCTTGTTTGTGATGAACTCATCACTATCTCGATCAAATAGCCGGCGAAGATTTCGAAGCTAGTCTATCTCTGCCAAACATTGACTTTGGAACTTATGTAAGGATTATGTCACTACCCGCGAATCTTTGGTTTACACATATTCGATTTGTTTGTTAGCATCTGTACCCTCAAACCTGGTATGTGCATTGTCTTGTTGGGGGGGACGTTGGCTGATAAGTGTGATAGGTACCCCGAATTAGTGAGCGCTTTACGCGAGTTGGTCTTCATGACAGCGCTAATGAGAGTAGGACTACCCTGGGTCTAACTTCTCTGTTGAGGATTGGGGCTTGGGTTGGATTGAGGCTCACGCGAACAGTACGTGAATGATGGTCTTCGTGAATATCATATCAAACACTAGGCCATTTGTAGCGGCAGCTTACGTCGGAAAGCCTCTTCTGATAGAAGAGTTCGGAGTAACAGGATTAGGTGAGTTCCCAGTGGGCAATTCGAGCAAAGCTGCTCATGACATGCTGTACTAGACAACAAGTCATCCATATATCCTGTATGGGTTGGTTACGCTCTTGCTACGGGACATGCGTGAGTTCTGTTTTTTTTTATCTGTATCCCAATTAATTGCTCAGTACAATTCACCTAGTGGGTAAGTTGTTGATTACACGCCCGGATTATGCACTTTTTAGTTGTTGATTGGCCTTTAGAATCCAACCTTGGCAGTTTGGCGAGCTGAACCTGACTGAGGATGGTGGAAATCGACTCATCCAATACACCGATCAAATTTATCAGGGGGTAAGCCAGGTTTGCTTTCAATAATCGCACACTTCTCACATAATCGGGAATAGGCATCACCCAATGATGGTAGGAAGATGTGTTTGGTTTAACATAAAGATCTCATGAGATTCGTCCAGGCTTCACATTCTACATCAACCAAACCTCCGTCTGGGACATATTCACGTAAGTCAAACTATTAGTAGCAGTTCCCGTGTGATGACGAATTACTCTTAGAGCGGCTGCTGCAGTGCAATCATACCGATCCGGCTGATTACAAGACAGGTAATATTGAGCCATCTGGGGATTTTAGGTGTATCGAGGCCTGTAATTACGTTTAAGACTTCGCAAAGTTCATTGAACCGCGCCTGTGTGAATAGCCGATATTCATCGAGCGGAAATAAGTGACGAAAGCCGGACTGGTATACGGTCCATAAGTTGTGTTTTGATAGCGGACAGAAATATGAATGTGTTCAGACATACACATCATCTGTCCACAGGCACGCGGACATTCGTTAACGACATCAACACAATCCCCTCCACTGACGTTGTCATATTTGTGCTGCCCTTGCTCGCAATATGCATTCGATTGTTGAAGAGAGTAGATAGCCTATACTGAGTATCCTTCCACAATTTTACGCTGGAAGTTCCGTGTACTTTGAGAGATTTTCTTACGTCGAAGCAAATAGGACTTACGATACTGTTGCCTCGTTAACACCTTGCCTGATCGTGTATTTGTACAACGAGCCGGCGGTGAGAACGAGCGAGATGCTCTCCCCAAGATGTACAAGAATTGTTGCTCCCGCCTGAGATTCACTTTCTCGCCGAAGGACTTGTACCACAGCAGGCCCTGGGGTGTCGTTTGTGATCTCGAATAATATTTCGTAAGGGATAGTAGAAGTCGGCATCTCGGATGTGGGACGGTAGGGCACACAGGTGCACGATCGTCCCTTGAGGATGAAATACCCCCGCTAGAATCATCATTATGGCACTTTCGGATCTCTGTGTATTCAGAAGAATGGCGAGTAGGTCATACTTCCTCGTTATTGTTTTCCCAAAAAGGAATGCTCAAAAGATGTCAAGATCAATCGCCAAAGGTTCCGTGCAACCTAGCACTAAAGAGATTTCCTTTTATATTTACCGATGTCGTTCTCGTCGAGTCTACAGGAACGACACAAGTACGTACTGAGTCATGCAAGACAATTTTGCGACATGGATACGTGCGAGCGGTGGTTCGTGGAGTACTCGCTATTGTCTCTGCAATGGTCACGTTTCATGATTGAACGTACATCCGGGCGGCCAGAAGATAAGCGCGAACGTCTTCCGAGTCCGCAAGACTTCGGGAGAACCTACGTGCGGCGTTAGCAAAGAATTCTACAAGCTGGTTAGAATATATATTCTTACAGCTTCGCATTGCATACATGAGTATGGACCTTCACAGCGATGACACCTCTTGTTCAGGCCTCCATCCATCTGCCCGCATTCTCTGCACAATCCTCAAGATGTTTTTGCAGTCGTCGATGCCCGAGTGGTGTCTGCCCTCCAGCGTAAGTTTCAAATCCTTCAGCATTGCTTGCATCCCCTGCTGGCGGCGAAGGCGATACAATTTCCGGAAGGAGTGCTTGATATTTATAAAGCGATTGAACGGGGCAGTCAGGTTGTCTGACTCGTCCAGGGCGGATTCACATTTGCTGAGGATCAATTGACGAGGAAGCATGGATTGGAGGTCCCAATTGCCACATGTCAGAAAAATGAAGGCGCCAGGGTCAGACAAGCCTTCGGTGTCGTCCATGAATCCCTGAAATCGTTTCCAAACGGTAGGAAACGTATCAGCGCAGCCAACGACATCCTAGAGACATCAACGTCAACGGTTCACGATCCACAAGTTGAACGGACCAAGGACGGAAACGAACCTGCGTGATACCTGTGAGTTCGGTACAAAACGGCGTCAAGGTCGGATGGACGACCGGTCGCACATATTCGTGGAAGGTGGCCTCCACTCGATCGCGCTCTAAGCTATACACGAGGGTGGGGAACTCGATGATCTCGTTTTGGCCATTGACAGCATCACCGCATGTTGCCTCGAAATCCAGGATAAGAAGATAGCGTAGAGGGCACTTCGCCATACGACGATGATGGCGATTTGATACAGTGAAACGGAGTGCGGTGGTGTGACGATAGCGACCTACACTTGAACATGAACTAAGGCAGCGAACAGAATGGTGCCAGCATGCAGGTGCTAAACGGCCCATCACACCAGACCACTGTGGTCGCATTTTAGGCAGACTTGTAGCATGGTCGGTTCCCAAGCAGCCGAATAGACTCTATAAGTTACCGAACACCAAAGCTCCGGGATCGAACAGGCACTCGAGATCGTGAAAATCATCAGTGCTCATTGGATATTGACACTGGCAACAAGCGACCACCATCAATGCGTTCAAAATACAACGTCAACTGCAGGTGGTGATATATACACAGCTCATGAGAAGGTCATCACAGTATCGAGCAATCCAGTGTCAAGGTCAAGTCTTGAAGCCATCCGAAAGTCATCTACCAACCCAAGAATCCGCCACGCTTTGGCCTGAAGTCAATGTTGAGGTTCAAGCACAACATGTCGTCATCATCTGTAGTATAGCCACGAATGCTGACCGCGAAAGGAGCTATATAGATAAGGTATGAGCAGGTTTAGCAAAGGCTATAAAGAACGACGTACCAGGCGGAATTTCCTTCGGGAGATCCACGGTGTGACTAACAACGTGCCTCCCTTCGGATACAGGACACTGAATGCTGGCATTGGCGTTCCTACTATAGGGGGATAAGATAGGCAGATAAAATCCAACAAACACACTTACGCCTCTGCGCAGACGTCGAATTCTCTTTGCAGAAGCTTGATAGCTCCAACCTTGACGACGACGTCAGCGTATGCACCATCCTACAAACAATACATGCTTTCTATTCAGTAACTTTAAACGACAGCCGCATGTGACGATACCTCAATCTCCTGCGACGAAGTGCCAATCACGGTGACGGTCATTTCCTTGCCCTTCTCTGGTGGATCCGGCGAAATAGAAATATCCTGAATGTGAACTGGATGCGCGGAACTGCCTGAGAAAATGGGGCACTCCGTCAGTCACTCATCGTTGAGCTGCGAATATGAACATACCACAGTCCTCCCACTTCCATCTATCGCTAGCGGGGGCTAGTCCATGAAGCAAATTCTGGTCTGCGGGAGATGCGGATATACCGCTGAGGGCAGCAGCGAGGAGAGCGAAAAAAACGAGGCGAGCCATTGACCGTCGACGTGGTGCAGAAAGGTGATAGCAGAGGCAGCCGAATTGGAGGATACCTAAGATTGGGCATAAGTGGCGTGAGAACCAAGAGCTCCACAGGCGCGGGGGTGGTTGCTGTGCCGCCTGCCTGACTGCGATGCGGAGGCTGCGCCCCTGCCTTCACCCGCGACCAGACTCAAACTCTGTCTCTTGTTCAGATCCTTCGCATTTTAATTAGGTGAGTTCCGCACGTTACTGATATTTTCCGCGAAAGAGGTCCCATCTACTCGCACTTCGACACTTCTTGCAGCGAAAAGCATCATGAAACCGAGAGAATATTGCTGCTGCGCGATTCCAGTCATATATGTTGGCATATACTCTGCCCTTCTTGAGCAATTTGCTCTCGGAATCTTGGCCGGCACATTATCTGTTGCCACAACGTCTAGTCAGTACATTTCTTATCATTATTGCGTTGCAAGTCTGACCGTCCTTTAGTCGTGGGAGCAGTAACGCCTTCCTTTGCCAAATGGCTGTTTGGTATCATCTGCTATGTAGGCGCAGGTATTCAGCTACTGGGTTTCGCCGGTGTTCGACAGGTGCGCCTTAGACTCTCCAACACATTGAGCTTTTGGCTGGATCGCTAATTCGCATACAGGAAAAGCCGATCCTATTCCGCCGATATACCACTTTGCATCTAATGACAACTCTCGCCGCATTTGCTGTGGCAGCCGTCTGGATAATATTGTCCGCTGCGAAGCATACACAGGCTGAGACAAATTGCAAAAATAATTTCTACAATTCCACCAACTCTGTTGTCGAACAAGAGGGGGACACCATATGCAAGTATTTTCCATGGGCAGACATAGGAATCATGAGTGGCCTATGGGTGTTGCTTGCCATCATGCAGGTAATGGCAACCATTTTATGATAGCGGCATTTTCTGATACCTTGCATAGGTGTACCTCTATTTCGTTCTGCTTTCATACTCCTCAGGCCAGGAGCGTGACTATCGGCACTTCGACTCTTTCTACGACGCAAGCAAGCCGTTCGCAAGCGACATTCCTCTCGCCGATCGAAGCGATCCTTGGCAGTCTCGCCCGTCTACGGATGCCCTCGTAAACGCGGGTGGACATGGCAGGTCAGACAGTATTGCTAGTACTTCTACGGTCATGGGTGATCAAATGCAACAATCCCGGAATCTTAACGGATACGGACAGACGTACAATCCCCCAAGCCAATCAGGAGACGGCTTCAGACAAGACGCTGGCCCAACGTCAAGATTAGCCAATAATCAATATGATGACGAGATTGAATCGGAGTATTCGCAACGTAGCCAGGCTCATCCTGGTATGCCTGGCTATTGATCTGCCCGTCTGGCAGGGTGAGTTGTCATTCAAACAGTGCCTGACGTGGTTTAAATGTTAATTGGGTTTGCCATCACAGGGGGATGACCGGGAACACGGTGCTGATGGTTATAACTACCCTTATATCTGCTCTCTTCAATCGCAGTTATCGTATTTGTTGATATACTTTCATCGGTCAATGTTTTAACCTACCAGGACTTCGAACATTATGTAGCTTAGACCTGCATTACTCTATTCCAATGGACATGACTTTTCTTACGAAACAGTGGCTCATTCATCATCTCGACCACTCGTCCGTCTCACGAATTTTCAAGCACTGTGTGCAATGTATTGAAAATTTAAACTGTGAAAATGAATCGATTGTACCCAGAGTTATTGCGTCCTCTGCAGCACTAGATATCTTCTACATCTTCCCAAGGCCCAATCGTCAAGTCGAGGTGACGCTGCTCTGCAATCGCATTCCACTTTTCCCGCCTACCCTCATTGATCATCAAGAGGTCTCTGAAATTAACGCAAACTCGGCTGAGTGGGATAGAGCGATGCAAGACGGTCTCTTCCAGAGCGTCGCAAATTTGACGCTCCTCCGTCAGTAAAGGAACGGCAAACCAGGTATTGCGTACTTGCAGCTTGAACGTCGAAAGTGAAGGGGGTAAGGATAGCACGAAATCGGGCCGCAACTCATGCACGGTTAACAAAGCAAATGCGAAATATTCCAATACGACCAGGTTGTCGAGGCACGACGCAACGACCGTACTAGTGAGACGACTGCAACCAAGCAGCACAAGCTTGCGCAGATATCTGCTGGAGACGGACACTAATGAATTGAGATGATGATTGCGGAGTTCGAAACCAAGTCGGTGACCTTGTCCGTAAGAGAATGATTCGAGTCGGGATCCGGGGAACGATTGACTGATAGTGTTTTGGTCAAAGAAATTCCCGGTAACACCGCAGAGTGTTACATGCCGGAGAGCGGGGGTAGTCAGCGGGGTGGGGAAGTGGCAGTCTCCTGATAGGCGTAATTTCTCGACGCACTCGGGCGGAACGACTTCGAAGGGGCGTACTCTTGTTTCCGGGTCCAAATGAAGCTCGTAAGAATTGAAGCGGTGGCCATCTCCCGAGGGGTACATTGCCATCTCAAATTTGAGGCGAAGATTGGTCGATCCTAGATGCAAAAATCTTATGGCTTAGTAACACGAAATAGGAGACATGGATACACTTACTTTCGACATTCACGGGTAGGCCCCGGCGGCACTGAAAAACACGCAGACTTCTGACAGAAGTCATCCGACGCAAGGCAAGGTGTAGATTTGATAACGGAAATACTTCCTTGCATTATATCAGCAATACCTGACATGACGACAAAATCGAGGCACACCTCTGGCTTGTCCTTGGATTTTTTAGCAGTCAGGACACGGCCGTCATTGGCAACGTCGAGCCAGAGTACTTGAGCCGCAAAGAAATCATCCGCACGCAAAATGAATGCGTTTATCTGACGCTCATGGCGGAGCGAGACATAGCGGCCGATAATGCGTCTAGCTTCGTGGTCGATTTGCCTACACGTACGAAGCAAACATATGTGATTGTTAGATGGCTGTACGTTATTCACTACGTGTCGATGCCCTATGAGATAGAGCTCGTAGATCACCAGACGGATCTCGACAGGGACGCCGAGGAACGTGGGGGCGGTGGCCATGGCTCACGAGCAGCCTGAATCCAGGCGGACAGACATAAACACGGGTCGCTGGGTGGGAGGAAGGGCTGAGGAAGCAAAGGACGGGGAGAGACATAGTACGGAAGGGGACTCCGCCATGTGGGAAGATTGAGTAGAAACCATATATGGTGGGTGGCGCGGAATGAGAAAGGCGATCGAGAGGGATTGGTGTGGTCGGTCTGCTGCCTCGCGCTGGACATGCCTGGTCTCTTGCCCTGTGGCCTCTTCCGCTTGTTTTAGGCACTTCCCCCCCGGCCTTGCCTCCCCAGTCCGACTCCGAGAACTGCACCGCCGGCCGGTCTACATACACAATAAGCTCGGGCTTAAAACGTGGCAACCCTCGTCTCGCCCTTGACAGCTCCGAGATATTGTCTTAGTTCGTCTCAGCTCCCGCTCTGAGACCCTCCCAGCGCACACCATTCCCGTACGCAATCATATTTGCGCTGATATTTTCCAGCGAGTGCCGTAATTGACAGAGCGCAGCGGCCCGTGGACGGAAGCTCGAAGCAACTGTCCTTGCCAAGCAGAACAAATACCTTCTGTGCCTCTCTGGCGTTACTCTCTTCTTCTCGCTCTCCTATCGCTTATATCACGTTCCTTTGTCTCCGCACCGTATCCCCGCCAGCATCCTGCGACTCACTCTGACAACCCCTTACTATGCCAGCAAGCACTCAGTACGAAGTCTTGCTCGACTTCACTAACGATACGCACGATTGTGCGTCTGTGCAACTGCTGAGGTCCTATGGCCGAAATACAGACGCGATTGTCCTCCTCCACCCCGGCGAAAGTGTCACACTTGTCCTTGATGCAGGTTGGTTCCTCATCAGTACGACAGAGGATCGTCTAATTACCGTTCCTCCAGGTTCTGTCTACCAATACGCCTTGAAAACTCGCTCGAAGGTTGCAAATGTGACGTGCGTTATACGAGGACGCCTGACTTTTCTGCCGTTTTGCTGACGCGAATCGGCTGCAATAGCGCGCGGACATGGAGAGATGTAACATGCGCAGTCTCCCAGCTATTCCCAAGCGGATCGCATACAATGGCGTATGCGTCGTCAGATCCATGGCGGCCTGTACACGGCATCACTGTTGACCGTCTGTGGCGAGACATGCGTTTCTGTATATGGAACGACTCGTAGCACTTCCGGTCAGTCACTCTGTTTTTCACTGCGGCACACAGACTCAGGTCTCCCCAACAGGCCACGACTGCCATTCTGGTGTTATAGTGCTGCTGTGCTGCCGCTTCGCCAGCCTGCCCCTGTCGCGTCAAGTCGTCTGGACGCCTAGCATGCGCTTTCCAGCGTGTGGGATGACGGGAGGGGTATTGATCGGACTCTTGAGAGGACCAGACAGTTATCGTATACCTCGGGGTCTTGCGTATTGTAATCAATGTAGCTCTGTTGTTTTGTCTAGCTTATCTTATTTTCTCCAATAGCATTCCGATGGGAGGCCGCCAGCCTTCTCCATTATCACAACAATATGGTGTCCCCGTGTCTCAGAATGCACCGCTGCAACGAGGTTACGGCGTGTTGTGTTCAGTATCTTGACTACGATGTCATTCGGTGCAAATTCAGGGCTATACAAGAGCCGTCATAACACGCTTGCAGCTCGTGTTTGCCGCAAGGCAAGATTCGATAGAACTTGCGGCAATCACCGTACGTGCTTTGCAAGAGCCGCAGGTCATGGTGCAGCTGCGCCCGCCTCCCGGAAGGCAGCAGAGGGCGGTAGTTCCCAGGTACTGTACCTGTAATACCATATGAGAGCTCCTTTGATTAGATACCGCTGCGATCGAGTATTTCGGAACCGGTCTTCTCGGCTTCCGAATGCGGAGGACATGCGAAGGCAACGCTTCCCCACCCCACATGATGGCATGCTAGCACAGGGGGAACATCAAAGATGGGCATACACCTGCGCATAAAGAGCGCGCATTGAGCCGACAAAGACCATTGGTGGAATACAACAGGAATACCTCGAGCTTTCTCACCAGGAGCTTCCCATGTGATATGAACTTCTTCGCTTGCATAATACAGCGGAAGGATGGTGTAGGTTTGTCTAGATCGCGTGAGAGAGCAAGGTACGTTCGAAGCGGCGCGCGTGAGGAAATCGTGGTGACCTAAGCTAACAACTTTATTCAAAGCATGGTTCCAAAAGCCTGGCTTCAAGATATCTCACTATACTTCCGGAGCCCTCCAGCGGTGGCAGGGTCTTCCAAACCAGTCTCGCTGACCTTTTAGATTGACTTCATTCGATTGTCGGAGAATTTAGGTTAGTCCACTTAATCGTTGGATAACACCTCCAGGACGGTGATCTGGCCTACACTGCACTCAGCAGCCAGGGCGATGAATGCATGTCGAAGCAGTACTCACCTGCCTCTAGTGAAATTTTACAGACTGGCAAGCCTACTGACGCGCGACAGCTCCTGGCAGTGGCATGGAGTCCCGGAAAGCGCAATTACTGCCAGTGTCACGAGCAGCAATGGTCACATCACGAGGACGCGACGCGACGCGTGAGTACTTGAGTGCTTGAGTCGTGACATCATGGTCGATGACAGTCGGGCGTCATAGAGCGAGTGGACTCGGAATGGAGTCGTGAGCTATAGCACGGCCAGAAAACTATATAAGCACCTACCGTGAGCCCCCCCCCCAAAACTCACTCGTTCTGCACGTCACCATCATGCAAGCCGCATCCAACGCAGCACAACACGTACGTTCTCCGTGTCTCACTGGTTGCAGGCCGTACTAAGAAAGATTAACACATAGGCTATGGGCGACTACCCCACAGTAGTACACCCAGAATACAAGCCACGTCAAGACGGAGGCACCATGAAAGCGCTTGCCTGGTTTGGGACCCGGGATGTCCGCCTTGTCGAAGCACCTATCCCAGATATCACTGAGCCCGACGATGTTATCCTCAAGGTCACTGGTACTACTATTTGCGGTTCCGACCTCCACCTATACAACGGTGAAATCATTAATCTTCAGAAAGGGGACATACTCGGTCATGAAGTATGAAATAAAACCTTGCTCACTTATATTTCTCATGCTGACTAGGACGTAGTTTATGGGGGTCGTGGATCGCGTTGGGCCAAATGTAAAGAATCTCCAACCTGGGGAACGAGTGGTGGCATCCTTCCAGATCGCCTGTGGGGAGTGTAGCTACTGCGAGCAGAAGTTGTCCTCGTTCTGTGATCGCACAAATCCTTCTTCGTGAGTGGCGCCTCACCACTTCCACAGGACCGAATAGTTAATAGTCGGACAGGTTGCAGAACGCCATGTACGGCCATCGGGATGCTGGATTCTTCGGATATTCTCATTTTACAGGAGGTTTCCCCGGCGGCCAGGCTGAATATGTTCGAGTTCCGAAAGGAAATGTTAATTTACTCCCGGTACCTGATGAAATACCTGATGAGAAAGCCATATACCTTTCGGATATTCTACCCACATCATATCACAACGTGATGGATACGGGGGTTTCTGAAGGGGATGTAGTTGGAGTTTGGGTGAGTTTTGAAGGCCGCACATCTCGAATTGAGACTTACATACCGATGATCCGTATAGGGACTCGGGCCGATAGGACAATGTGTTGCAAAGTGGGCTCAATTGAAAGGTGCATCACGCATTATAGGAATTGACAGGGTCCCCGAACGACTCGCGTTCGCCCGTGAGAAGCTGGGCATCGAAACTCTAGACTTCTCGGTGCACAAGGACGTCGTCAAGCGGTTGCAAGAACTTGTACCTGGAGGCCTGGATGTCGCGATGGATTGCGGTGAGTCGAAATGCCCGTATTTGAACATTGTGCTCAATGTGCGGTATTCTTAGGGACGTTCCACCAGCCCAAAACGCTCGTCCATAAAGTTGAGAAGGCGCTCATGCTTGAGACTGATGTTTCGGAAATAGTGAACGAGATGATCATGTCCGTCAAGAAAGGAGGGCGATGCGGAATTATCGCCGCCTACGCCGGCTACACCAACCACTTCAACATCGGCGCACTGATGGAAAAAGGAGTACGCCTGATCGGCAATGGACAGGCACCTGTTCACAAGTGGTGGAAAGAAATTTTGAACGACTACATCATTCCTGGAAAGTTTGATCCTTCCTTGTAAGCCTGGTCATTCCCGTTCATGATAAGCTACTTGTATGCTGATATAAATTTGCAGTATCATTACGCACCGTGTCCCACTAGACGACTTTCCGAAGTTGTACGAAGCGTTTGACAAGCGGGAAGGTGGCGTTGAGAAAGTCTTCGTTGAAACTCAGTTTTCTAGCCCACCTTCTGTAGGATGTCCAACGACCACCAGGGTCAGCGAGTGGGCAAAAGTGTAAGATGCAGCTTTGAAGGTGGTAGGATGATTAGGATATGTACTGTAGTCCGGATAGTTGACTCACTTATTCATTACTTGTTTTGAGCTACCTTGGCGGCTTTTGGTTGAAGAGCAAGTGCAGCACGCAAGGAACCTTGCCACCGCTTTATCTCCTGACTATGTTTCGAGTCTCACGCTGCGTTGCAGTCTGCCCAGACCAGTGAACAATCCATCAATCATAATTGAAGATGACAATCAGACTGAGAAAATGACGACTAATATCCCAGGAATAAGAATAGTATAAGCACTCAGCTGAGGCCTTCTGACATCATCTAGAGGGTAAAAATGCACCTGAGCGGCAGGCAAAGTAGACAAATATATACGGATCAGCTACTCAAGCTCGTTCCCATATGTCAGTCTTGTCTACGCCTAGCCTTCTCCTCTCAAACCATCTCAGACGACCGGTTGGCTCTTTCCCGAGGACACCCTGCGCTATATGGAGCGCACTCCGCGCACCGCCAGGCAGCGTCTGGCCTGCCTTCAGTCGGAGTCCCTTCAAACCTGCATAAGGTGTATCGTCGCTCTCTTTCTCAGCTTCCTTATTCATAGCTGAAAGTGACTTCGCAAGCAGGGTGTCCTAAGAAAGTATTGGATACGAATGCAACATAAGTATGAGGACGAGATGCTTACAGCATGATCTCCTGCTTTCACAGCCAACTCGGACGCCGAATCCTCATTCCTGAAGCGGAGGACTTTCTGCAAGTTCCACCTTGTCTTCGGCCGCAACTGACCCCGCTCATCAGGTTGCAGTGCTCTCTCATGCATCACAGTCTTCTCTAGGCCAGTGATCCCAGTGCTTGCAAGAGCGCGAGGACCATCGTTCCCTAACCGCCTTCCTACCAGTTCCCATCCCACAGTACGAGCTGTCATTTCAAAACGCAGATCTCGTGGGTTATCAACCAGCTCCAAGATCGCGTGAGGGGCGTTGTCGCCTGGACGGTTACCAAACTTGTGGATCCTCGTGTAGCCCCCGGGGCGGCTTGCGTATCGCTGAGCAAACGAGCCGAATACCTTGGGTACTAAAGAAGGCTTCAAGAGGAACGCGTTAGCGCGTCTGAAAGCGGGTAGGTCGCCCTTCTTGCCCATAGTGATGATCTGACATTCAACGTAAGACTGTTATCCTCGCAAATTAAGCCTCGACGATACCTTTTCTGCAAGTCTGGCGGTATCCCTCGCCTTGGGGAGGGTAGTCTTGATTTGTTCATGTTCGAACAGCGACGTGACCAAGTTCCTGTTTGAACCTCGTGAGCGGAGGAGCTGTACACACGACAGCACATACCTCAGCATGAGCATCCTGTGCGATGAGGTCCGAGAAAACTTTCGAAACGCGACTCCATGCTTCATGACTTGGTCTCAGGTGCAACGGTCAAACGATGGGAGGTACTGGTCCAGTCTTGGACTCTTGGTGAGTATTGGGAACACAAGCGCCCACACGCGGTACTTTTCGCGCGTCCAAATCTGGTAATGACCGCGCTACATCAAGCTAGTAAGGGTACTACTTCAGGAATATCCAACACGCGCGAGGTTGGTCAATCGACCCTGCACGTAAACTGCCTTTGCCAGTAGTCACTTATAACTTATAGGACAGCTGCCAAACTAACTTGGATCTACTTGAGCTGTTCATACACGCGCTACTGATGTTTGGACATAGCAATAGATGCTGGCCGTTACATATTCATGATCATCTAGCTGTTGTTGACCTGCTGATGCGGACAATGGCCTCTGCACTTTGTAATTTTGAGTCAGAAAATGACCAGAAGTAGGTGTGTGGCGCCTCCCTGAATCACATTCTTACTATAAAGCTGACCATATCTTTCATCCCTACTCGTGAATCAAGAAGCATGGATGCGCGATCTAATCGTCCACCCACAAAGCCACTGATCTACCCAATCGGGCCGGGGCCTTCTTGATCATAAACGCTAATCCCAGCTGAAGCTGTTCAATATCCGAGTCAAGTCATGAAGACGACCCTCGTCGAATGAAAACACCACTGACGGCAAATAATTGCAGATGTTTCGGTAAGATTCAGCGGCCGAGAGACAGCATTTACATTCGCTTAGCAATGGCATAAATAATTCAATCGCTTGAATGCTACTTGTACTAGCTCGATCAAGCCCCGAACTGGTGTCGCCACATTGCGCCTCGGTATTGACCGGAGAGATCCACTACAAACAGATGTCCGGAATCTGGATACAAAGCCTGCCTGCTAGCATCGTCTCCGCATGCTCCACACTGCGCCGTAGTCACATACAATTGGTCGTTGTTCTCGCCTTGCCCGCGTCAGAAAACTCATTACCACCAGTAAGAACACTTTACCTCCGAAACAACAGGCTGTAACTTTGAAAACAGTGGGAAAGACGATTTCCAAGTCCATTTCTCCCTCTGGCGTATATCGAATAATCCTGGACCCATTCCACCTTTAAGACAGATGTTCGATGAGCCACAGACACCAAAATATCGTTTATGGGCAGATTTCACTGCACGCACCTTGCTGACCATAAGCCCCCTGCGCTATCGAAGCACAGGCCATCGGGGAATGTCCCCTCGGGCAAGCCGTGAGCAGTCGAGTCAACAAATACACGTCTACCGGACAATCTCCCGTCCTCGTAGTCGTAGGCATATATCTTGTTCACTAGCGAGTCTGTGAAATACCTACCATATTGCGCTCTACGGTGAGCAAGTGTTGACTATGACAGACTCGGAGGTAATCACATGGTCTTGCCGTCCTCACTCCAGCCTAAACCATTGGAATCCTATCCCTTGATAAGTCAGATCATCAATCCGCTATGGAAGCGGTCAACCCACCGTAAATGGGCCTTGATCGATAACGTCGCATAAATTGGTTTCAGGGTCGTACATGTACAGCTGACCAGGTACGTCATACCGCGGCGAGTACAGCGTGCCTGCGATATAACGCCCTTTGTAGTCGCATGCACCATCATTGAACCGAGTATGAGGCTGATGACTTGAAGGTAAAGGCTGACAAAGGTAGTGCAAGGTGGAGTTGCCCTCAATGAGCGCGAACCCTTTCGAGGTTGTGCATGCCAACTGAACCCGAGTTAAATCATTGCCCGCATTTGCCACAGTCCAACCCAGTAGTGCAACCTACTTACCCCCTTCCCGTTTCTCCGCAGAGCAAGTGAGGTTACCGGATCCTCGAACGTATCCACGACGAAGTCTAAGGTGATAATATTGAGGTGGTAGACCTGGCAGAATGAATAAGTCGCGAGGTGAGGTGTACGATAACGCTTGAAGACATCTTACCTTGTTTTGCTCAATATCTACGAAGTGCAACGTCGACGTGCGCGGGTCGTACAGGGGCCCTAGTAGAACAGGGAACTACTCATTATTGCAGGCGAGTAGATGAGCTCAAGCAGTCACCTTCACCAAGGCTGCAGTTGGTCTTCAGGAAAGGGTGGTGGACCGTGATAGTTCTTGGCGGGGGTCCCATGTGCGCACAATGTATTTGAGAGTGCGACGTACTGGGATTCACGGCTCCAGGCTTTATAAACGATCCCCGGCCCGGGGACTAGCACTTAGATCTCGGGACCATCTACGAATTCTAGAATTTATTCACAACTTATGCTCAACAATCTCACCGCTTTCAGACGCAGCGACGGCCAAGTAATACGATCTGTCATGGCATATCGATAGGGGAAAAAAAGAAAAACTGCGAACGCATGTTCCATTGCCACGCGTAGGTAAAAGTCATATCGCAATTGCCTACAGGCCATCATGTGAACCATCCTTAATGAGCTGGAAGGCGTATCAGCGGAGCCGCGCAAGCGGCACAGTAAGGCACGCTTACCTTCTGGTGTTTTGGCGATGTAGTCAATGGCTAAACGATTAAATCTTTAATAGGGCCCGGACTGCAGCACGACGGGAATCGTACCTTGCTGCACAGTTTTGATTTCGTCCGCTTCCTCGTCTGGAATCTCGATGGCAAATTCCTAATATAGTTCTCAGTGAACAGGAAGAATATTACACGAGGTTTGTCATCTGTTCACCTCTTCCACAGCCATGACAACCTCGACTGCGTCCAAGCTATCAAGGCCAAGGTCTTCGGAAAATCTTGAGCTCTCCGAGAGCTATGACGCGAGGTGCGTTCAGGTACTGGCACATCGTATATACCAGCGATAACACACCTTCGTAGGGTCTACCTTTTCGAACCCTTTCAATACGTCCACGACCCGCGCCGTGATTTCGGTTTTTGACAGACCAGCGGATGCAGAGTACGCGGCATGTTGCAAGATTCGGCTGGGCGGGTGAGGAAGCATCGCTGTTGCCCTATGAAAGCGGGCATGCGAAACACCACGAGCAGCAAGATGAAGGAAAGACATGAGTACGAATGGCAGCAGAGAGACAAGTTACAACAGACGTTGCAACTTGAACGCGGTCGAGCTATGGTGACAAGACCGGAATCTGCCGATACGGCGACCCGGGCACGTGACCACCGGAGCCGTCTCGCAACTACTAACTTAGTAACTAGTAGTACTGTATACAGTGACCAGTCAATACAGTAGCTAGCACTAGCAGCGGCCAGTGGCCTACAACACGCAGAATCGGGGCGTTTGCTTTGATGAAAGATAACATCTTGCCCGTAAGCAATGAATTAATGACTTGACATATGCTTCGGGAATATTCGGTTGGCAACACAGATTCAGGCAATTGCGCATGGCACTATTGCCTTCCTCGTAGACGAATTCCATCCGAGTCAGACTTCCGAACGGCGTGCGAGGCAATCGACAAGATCCACGTATTGCCCCCAAGCCACTGATTCTACATAGCGAGTTTCGCGGTGCCCACTAGGAGGTAATCGACTATCGCTGTGAATTTCTTAGATCCCAGACTTTCCCTGTCGTTGGGGCCTTTAGTGCAACATATGTAATAATGCTAAGTACATGATGGATGGGCGAATGTGGACCATATGTACAATCAATCGACTGAGAGCATGTGAAGTAGTAGTCAATAAGCAGCCAATAAGCAAAGGGGAACTGGGACGCACGCATTGCTCATTCGGAGATTGCCGAAAGGAACTGTGCAGTTCAAGTCACGGTGGCTGTCGGTCACTCCTCCGATGCTCTAGCAGCCACCAGTGTGCACTAACGACTGCAAGATCGTCAAGGTGAGATATCCAACGCGTTAGCCGCAAACACGTTCTGAGCACCATTTCTCTACTTCTTTCCTCACAAACTAGGTCAGTGTTCTCCGTTGCATTGTCATCGTCTCCGCGCAAGTTTGACTCTTATCCGAAATCTCGCTATCCAGACTCGCCATGGCCACATTCTCCTCGACACCCATCGTCATTGATGGCAAGGGCCATCTTCTCGGACGTTTGGCTTCAATAATCTCGAAGCAAATCCTCAACGGCCAGAAGATTGTCGTTGTCCGGTGTGAGGAGATAAACATTTCGGGCAGCTTCTTCCGCAACAAGGTCATTCACGGAATCTACGCGTCGGCTTTGCGTCGCGCTTATAACCTACTCTCTCTTGTAGCTGCGGTACCACAACTTCCTCCACAAACGCCACATTGTCAACCCCAAGAAGTCTGGTCCTTTCCATCATCGTGCGCCCTCAAAGATTCTCTACCGGGCCATTCGCGGCATGGTCCCGCACAAGACTGCTCGTGGAGCGGCAGCTCTTGAGCGTCTCAAATTATTCGAGGGCGTACCTCCCCCTTATGACCGTAAGAAGCGGATGGTTGTCCCGGAGGCCTTGAGGGTCTTGCGGTTGAAGCCTGGCCGCAAGTATTGTACTGTCAAGGTGAGTCGTGAGACCCTGTCTTCTTTTGCTCTTGACGTCTCATGTTCACCCTTCTCAGCGCTTGTCTCATGAGGTTGGTTGGGGTTACAAGGATGTGGTTGATCGTCTTGAGGAGAAGAGAAAGATCAAGGCTCAGGCCTTCCATGAGCGCAAGGTATGAGTCGTAATACACGAAGCACGAACCGTGGTCCTGATTTATGCTCTTACTAGCTCGCAGCTATTAAGCTGCGTCAAAAAGCTTTGGCGGACACAGCGTCATCCTTCGAGAAGCTCACGCAGCTTGGCTACTAGACAACATAGTTACATGGCTTCTCGCACTCTCTATCTGCACTCTCCTATGATCAGATGTTATGAGTTATTCCATGTAATCATGTACTGTTTTTTATGTCAGCACGAGGGCGATATGCGAGGGGATTGTTCGAATACGATACTATTCTCAGACGCAGGTATATGTACGCCATGCCCTGCACTTCCGTTTGGCAGATGCGTCGATATCATATTATGACTCGACGCGTTGGGCAGCGTTGTAACTCATCTAAGCGGCGACAGGCGGAGATTGAACCTGAGATCTCTCGGCCATTGGCTGCTTGACCCGTTGCTGACACCACTCCGTCGCCCTACCCCTCCCCCTCGTCCCCACACTCCCCCCTCCCTCCAAGCCATGCCTTCCGACTCCCCTGTTCTCCGTGACACAGGTAAGATACTTTTCACATGCGCCTCCATAAAGTCTCAGCTTTAACGCTCAAGTATCGCAGCGTCCTCGCCTCCATCACGTTCACCCTCTCCCTCCGGCAATGACACGCTGACGCTTCGCGCCCTCGTTAGCACCAAGGATGCTGGTGTTATCATTGGGAAAGCCGGCAAAAATGTTGCTGATCTCAGAGACCATACTGGTGTCAAAGCTGGTGTCAGCAAAGTCGTTCCTGGAGTCCACGAGCGTGTCCTGACAGTAAGCGGTTCTGTAGAGGGCGTAGCTAAGGTCAGCTTGCAAATAGCCCCTGTACTGTTCGTGATACTAACATCCGTACATAGGCGTATGCTCTCATTGTTTCGCAGCTAGTCTCAGCCAATCCCTCATCCCCTGTCTCTCCGAACTCACCTCCGCCAAACACCGCTATTCGACTGCTCATCTCACACAACCTCATGGGAAGCGTCATCGGGCGGAACGGGCTCAAGATCAAAGCAATACAAGACGCTTCCGGCGCGCGAATGGTAGCATCGAAGGACATGTTACCGCAATCTACCGAACGCATTGTCGAGGTTCAGGGCTCATCTGAATCAATAGGGCGCGCTATCGAGGAGATCGGTCGATGTCTACTGGAGGATTGGGAGAGAGGTCAGGGAACTGTACTTTTCCATCCTGGTTCGGGAGACGAGAGATCTGGGCGACGGTCTTCCAATGCAAGTCGGAGGTACAACGGCGACGCTGGGCGCGGCCGAACTTCCCCTTCACCCAATGCTCCACTCCAACAGCCCACCAACCTCCGTACTCAGAACATATCTATTCCGTCCGATATGGTTGGTTGCATCATTGGTCGCAATGGTACGAAAATCACCGAAATTCGCCGTTTGTCTGGATCGAAGATCTCTATCGCCAAAGAGCCTCACGATGAGACTGGCGAGCGGATGTTCACGATCGTAGGTACGCCGGAGGCGAACGAGAAGGCGCTATTCCTCCTATACAATCAACTTGAAAGTGAGAAGGAGCGGAGAGTAGGCAGAGATCAGCAACAGCAAGAAGAGATGCAGGACTAAGAGGTCAAGGGACTGCTATTGTTCCTTACTACTAGCCGCCCCGCGCATAAGGTCGATACACGACGTTGCAGCGCCGATCTGGCAAGCAAGCATATGCCCAGCTTGCTCACCTCAACTACATTCTTCCTAATCCGCCGCCATGCAGCTCGTGCCTGTAGGTCGTCGCGCCTGTCCATATACTTCCGCCCTTGTTCTGCTGCGCCTCGAATCTTGCCCTCTCCGTTCCTCGTCCCCTTCCCTATTCCGTCCGCCGTCCGCTATTGCTGCTCCGCTCAGGTCCTTAGGCTTGAGGGGGGTTTGTTTCCTGTCCCATCTGACATGTCTTCGTTGACGTACGTGTTATCTGGTTGTCGTGCTCTATTATATTATTTGCTTGCATACGTGCGGGTCAGAGACACTTAAAAGTATGCATAGCTTAATTGATAGCGCACTGTGTGGTATCGCTACTACGAGAAAACAAATACATTGCTGTCCCGGATGGGCTCACGTGTTGAGCGCTAGACTCAAATATCTATGATCCACTGTTGATCCACTGTCAATAATTGTCTGCGTCCAATATGAATGGAGGGTCGTCCTCGTATTTCGGCGTTCAGGGTACCCAACCTCCTGGTGCTGCCGCCGCTCGCATAGCGACCACTGTTCTGCTTAATCCATATGCTCAAGCTTCATCCTTCTCGTACCCGCAGGCACCTCACTATGCGCAAGCCTACGCACAATCTAGTGCATCGTCCGTGCCAGCAGTCACGATAGATGGGTATAGCTTGTCAAGCACGTACTCTCCTGCACTATCCAATGGCCCTCAAACCGGTATCCACCAAGAAGGTTTTCGGAGGCGACCAGCTGCGGGGCAGGTACAAGCACACTGGTACCAAGCCGGCGACTCAAGGTGTACCTTTAAAGGGTGCACATTTATAGGTTCTAAAAAGTCTGTTGAGATTCATATGATGGATCGGCACCTCGTTTATCCTCCAGGCTGGGAGAACAGGAAACGCAAGCCTGATTGGGATGCCGATCCTAGCCTGAAAGGGTGAGCTATACCCGTATGCATAAACTGATGAGTGCAGAAAGTAATAAATTATTTAGGAAGCCAATTCTTATCCAGGGAACTACCATCAAGTTAGACACCCCGGAGGCAATCGCGAGCTGGATTGCTGAACGTAAAAAGAGGTTCCCAACCGCAGGTCGTATTGAAGAGAAGGGGAAAAAACTGGAAGAGGCCATTGCCCGCGGACAATTGCCCATGGACGATGCTCGCTTCCCACAGAGGAAGAAACGACGTATGGATAGTACTTCATTTGGGTCGAATATGCATTATGGCAATGCTTTTAGTGGTCAAGAACGTGGGCGAGGCCGCGGACGTGGTCAGCGTGGGGTCGTTGATGGAGGCCGCCACTATGGCACTGGCCGACGTTCTGAACAAACCGCACCGCGGCAGTTGTATGCATTGCCTGAGCGACCTACAAGCCCTCACGCTGGACCTGCCTCCAGAACTTCTGAACCGGATTCAGGCTTTTCAGGGTCAAGTATAACGCAAAATGTCGACGAAGACGAATCTAGCTCGGATAGTGCCCCAGAGACAATGAGTTCCAAGCGTCCAGCCAGAACAGCGAGGATTGAGTCTCTTGAAGCCCAGTCGAAAATCACTGGCAAGGATAAAGAACTTAGCCCTAGTGGCGAGCGTCAGAACAATGCGCAAATTATTCCACAACGTGGACAACAATCTAGAAATCCCATTCACAAACAACCTCGGAGGCCGCCACACAATCCTTTCGCGTCCCGTGAACCACTCCTTCGTAATGTGAAATTTCTACTGACGTTCATCTCAGGAATGGGGCTCATAAAAATTCATTATTAGCTCCTTGCGCCAGAGATACGAATGACAGTGTCAAATTTATCGCAAGCCATCCGGTTCCTGGTCGATAACGATTTTCTCCAAAACGTTGAGCTGAGACCGGGGGCGGCGTCTGAAAAGATGATCGAGGTCATTGGCTCATCAGAGAATGTGACGTTGGATGCAGATGAGGGAGGAGCTTAAGTGTGCAGGGGTTCTATCATCTCTCCAACCTGAGTTATCGTAGCGTACACAGCCGTATCACGAGGTTGCTTTTCGAGGTGTGAGTTCCGAAGGGCATTAATTACGATGAGAAGTCATTATGAGGTACTATGAAGTGCTATGCTCCGCTGCTGGAGCGACTATCGCTTTCATCACTGCCACTGTCGCTGCCATCCTCGTATTCGCCATCCTCGTCTGCGTCGACCTCCAACTGCCTCTGCTCGACCTCGAAGCCCGCTGCGCCGAGTCCCAATCCAATCTCATCGGCTGTCGAGGGTGCTGTAACCACTACAGCAACAGAAGAAGAAGGGTCGAAGAGTGGAAGGAAATGTGTCCGCAATGCGGCAAGGACATCTGCCTTGGTGACTATTCGGAATTTCTCTAGAAGACTTATACTGTGGTTTTGAGAAACACCCTTCAAAGCTTGATTCATGAACGATGATAGTGCCTGTATAGTTTCCCGTCAGTCTGCCCGACCGTAACTATGCGATATGACATACCGCACGTCCGGGCGTTGACACGCCCTTCGTAACGCCAAACACGATGCTGCTTTTCGCAGCATCTAGTGTCGTGTCCTCGAGATTAATCTTACCCTGTCATCAACATCTTTGTAAATTCTTCAACATTGTACCACTTACTGAGCCATCAACAAGACCTTCTATAACCGACTTGGCTTGTTCGAAGGCTTTCATGTAGTTAGAGCTCTGCGAATGTCATCAGGAGAACGTAATCCCAAGAAGCTCGGAGACCTACACGATACAAACCGAAGCCAATGAGACCAGCCTCTAAGTCTATGGACACATGTGCACCATACGCAAGCCCTGATCCACGAATGTAACGCTGACGTGTATTAATTAGTTTTCTGCGGGACAACACGAGACCATTCACGCACCCATAAATAACTCTCTGTTGCATTAAGGACCTCAAGCGCTACTCGAAGAGCCGGATATTCTGGGTGAGCGAACCCTTGAATTCCTTTCGACGTGTGTGACACATAAGAGCTTTCGATGGTAGGCAAGCTGACTACTACGGCCTAAACGAATTTAGCGTTCGTAGTTGCCCCTATCTATATTGGCTTAATGAACATACCTTCCCAACCGGATTTTTGCCCAGGGAGCTGAGAGTATCGACGGCCAGAGCAACAGGTGCCAATTCAGCTGCCTAGATCGCGTATAATTAAGCAAGGAACAACCGCGAGTTTGGTAGTACATACGGGGAGAACATCCGAGAAGTATTTGCTCCAAACGCTTCGAGGTTGCTTTAGAGCTACAATGTTACCAGCTACCGAGATACGCACACCAGAGGGGTCGGTCACTGTCAAATGAGGTAGCACCAAGTGTTAAGTATCTCTTCGGAGTGGATTAATGAATACACTTACAATGCTTCCTGATTGCCTCAAAATCATTGATAACATCCTGCGGCGAATCTTGAAGCTGCTGCGCGAGCATAGGAATGAACTTAATCTGTGGAAGAACCCCGCCATGTCTAGACGTCGAGTTCTCGCTGTACAACAGCTCGGAAGATATGGAAGACAGCACTGTGTCACCATCACGTTTGAGTTCAGGCAAAGATTGCTGGACCTTGGCAATAGTGACTTGCAAGCTAAACAAACGTGAGACGTTTCTAATGGGATGTACACGAAGCTTACCGATCCTTGTCGAATTGAATGCCATATACCAGATCCTTCAACCATGCAACTGCCGCTTCGTACCTCCCAGATTCAACTTTGATGGTTACGCGTAGCGTCTCCATGAAAGCTGTACCCACACCAAGGGATGACTCATAGGAAACAGTATCATTATCGAGCTGGTTCACGACCTGTTCATGAGTGAGTTGTTCTCCAGTGCTTCTATTGACTGGTAAGGAGAAGAAGGCAGAGAGATAAACTGCCATATGGCTGGCATTTTGAATATATCAGAATATTATCCGTAGGGACACAATGGCGTACATACGGACGTAGTCGGTCGGGTAAGTTAGCCAGAGAGAAGTAGGCGTTGATAGTGACGAAATCGGACTGAACAAAACACATTAGTCATTAGATTGCGCAACACATTCTCCACTGTACCTGAACATGGTCATATTGAACGAAAAATGGCACAGGCTGGCCATCGCTCGTAACGTGTTTCGCAAGTTCGGCATTTCCAGACTGTGGTACCGTCTTCTTCCGCCCCTTGCCCTCTCCTACTTCCTGCAAGCTTTGCACTGGGATCCACGAAATGCTCTTCACATCGGGAACTGGGAAAGACGTCAGGATATCCGTCGGAATCTCTCGATCATGTTCTTGCTTCGCTTCCTCGAGCTCCTTCTCAGCCTGCGCAAGCCCATCTGGTCCTAGCCGATCTTTCTGCGCTGCAATCCGAGCTTTCTCTTCCTGTTCTAGTTTGTCAGCCATTGCGCTGGAAGGTTTGCCTCGAACCACGATACAAGGAGGGTCAATATAATACCTGTAAGTCCGCATTAACATCGACGGGCCCATTCGACATGAAAGGTATATCCAAAAAATACCTTCTCAGAATATCCGTCCATTGTTTACTTGACCACTTACGAAGTTGAGCATATTGGTTAATTTCGTCCATAGAAGGACCGAGCTCCGATCCATCTTCGGCCCCATACAAGAAGTCTGTGATAACGGTTCCAGAAAATGTATCACCTTTTGAGGTTTCAACTTTGCTACGGAGCTATCATTGGTCGTGAGATTTGATAAGATCATGAAACAGTAGGACCAGAGATTACCTGTCGTTCGTCGCGATCAATTATCATTGTCATCCGCTCCATGTCGACTCCCGCTTCGACAATCCGCTGAAGACTATCCTTGAGCCTCTTGTCGAAAGTGTCCAGATGTTCCGTAGGGATTGAGCCAATGTAAACGGGTAGATCCACGTAAGTCGCACGTGTATCCTCGCCGAAGTAGATATACGTGCTACAAGGTAATCAGCCACAGCTACTATCGGAATGCTTCCTTAGGAGAACGCACCAGAGAGGAGATTCTATCTCAACAAACTCTTTATTTAGAGGGGCCACGGCAGACGACGTCAAGTAGGTTGCAAGGATGTCGAGAGCCTGGACCAAATTGTAGAAGACCCCCACATAAAATCAACAATAGGGCGACATACCTTTCTCTCCAGGAATGCATTTGATGGCGGACCCATGAAGCCAAGATACAGCTCACCCACACTCTCGTCCTTTTCTGGAAATTCCACTGTGTCTTGAATTGTCTCCGAAATAGGACCACGTTGTGCACTGACTGTCTCCACGAAAGGGCGCTTCCATCCATCAGGCCGAGTGCCGTGGTTTTGACCATGCTCAATGATAGATGGCTCTATCTTATCCTGCACAACCTTCAGAAGAGATGTAGTACCCGAGGCAAGCTTTCCTGCGACAATCAAGGAGAGGTTGTGGGGCACATAATACTGGTGATGATAGTCCCGAACTAAAAGGTGTGAGTGAATAATCGCGTAAACCACTAGAAAATCGTACTTTGGTCGATCGTCAACACCCTGAGGGCTTCCATGAGGCCGCCAGTTTCACTACGATATGCGCTTCCTTTGGGGTTGAGTAAGCGCTGCATACTAGAATGCACATCAAATCGAGCCAGCTGATCGGCCAAGAGGCACCTTACCGGAGTGCCATAATATCTTGTGGCGTATTTTGCCGCCCTTGCATCTCACTATAAACTACCCCAGAGTCTTTACCCTGACCATCTATATGATGCACCTATGATTGTTGAGCATATTTCGGATACAAGAATGAAGAGCGTCCTACTTCTGTAACGAACCCAGCCTTCGTCAGGGTAGGATACAGTATATGATCGACGTATATCGGAAGTAGTTGAAGGAAGCCCTGCTCTCCAGCCGTAGACACAGTATATGCGGTATGGTCCGTATCAGTCCAGGCATTGGTACCGTTTGAGAAACCACGGTTAGCGAGATTATCTATGATCCCCTTGTACGGATATTTCTCCGATCCCATGAAAACTAGACTGCATGATGTGAGCAATCGACCACCATTCAATCAGAATTACCAACTGTTCTAATGTATGCGGACAACCACTATCGTCAAAAACTAGATATGAAGTGAGCAGTTAGCATATATTGAACCTGCAAGACAAAATTCATGATTGTCGTGTGCAATCCCAGATCTACGGATTGTTGTTCAGCAGGCATGCGCTACGCATTGCCCAACCAGATACGCATGCCGGGCTCAGGACCATCATTGCGTCCAAGAGCGATCCTGAATCAGGCACTGTACCATTGGGATCACGATTGTCAGACCACAAGTGCACATGATAGTTAGAGGACGAAAACGTCGGGACACGAGTATGATGGATGTAGACATCATTTAATAGAGTAAGTGATTCCAGAATGGGTTGATATAAATTATGACTGGTCGCGAATATTTGTGCATGAAAAGAAATACGTACTCTCAGTCCCAATGACGAAATAGCCGTTAACAATGGGAGCTGTCGTGTCAATGTGACAGTTGAAAGTCAGATGCATAAAAGTCTGTAGCAAGCTCAATGAACGTACCCTCATAATCTAAGTGGACCACAGACAGTCCAGTGATCCGACTCTTCCACTTCGAGACCAGAATGTCCGCAAAGTCCAGCTTCAGCCGTTTCACCAGATCAAAATTCCCGAAGTGTTCAGGAAATGAACCATTGACTTTGGTGCCATTCTCAAGAGGTGCCATAGTGCTATACGAATGATCAATAAAACGTTGCAGAGAGCGAGGTGCAGATCGAGTTCGATATGTATACAGAGAACGAGAGATGGTGCTGTGTTGCTTGATGGAATGCGAAGCGCGTTTGAAGGTCAGGAGACGGTACATCCAGTATTCCAAGATAAAAGGGTCGTGACAGCAGGAACCCAACCAAGAGTTAATAACAGAGCAAACGCCAGAAGGAACCTGGAAGACGAACACGAAAGCGCCCATAAATCGTCCTGAGTATGTAAGAACCACGTGCGAGCAAATTACAAATTGCTTGATTCAAAGATACTATACTAGTAATGGAGGTACATTGTAGAGGCTGGCAATGGGCAGTAAGTGTCCACTTTCAGCTTGAGGTTAACATTTCAACACCAGAGTGAGAAGAAACTGACAGGTATCGGATCCGATTACGATACCTGTCAATTTTCTTCCCAAGCTGTCTCAGTTCGCCTGCCTGACTTATCCACTGGGCGCTCGACGTTGCAACAGGAACGCCGACACTGCAAAATAGAATTTGAGTCTAGTGCGTTTGGGGTGGACTCGTGTAAGCATCTGTGATTCACGAGTCATCTACCTCCTCCGCCTATTAGAGGAAAGCCGTCATTCAGAATGGTCGCATACACCGGTCCACGTCCTTCGTAAGGCGATCGCCTACAAAAGTCCTTCAGGGGCCATCGTTGGATAGGTACCGCCTAACCTTGGTAAATACCGCGACGATGACAGTAGAACCTACCAGCTTGCCCAAGCTAGCCTTCCTGGGCCCCTTGGGATCCCACTCACACCAAGTGAGTCACCGACAGCACGATAATTGGAATAGTGAACATTGTCTAATCGATGATTAGTGTGCCCAGAACGGCTTCGGTCCAGGAGTAGAATATGTCGAGAGGTCAACTATCACAGGTACGCTACTCCTTTGCCATTTCAGCGGACAGTGGCAAATGTCAGCAGAGGCTTTTAAGGCCGTCTCCGACGAGATACCGTTCGCTCTGATCCCACAAGAGAACAGTTTGTATGGGACGGTCACGGACACATACGACCTCCTTCGCCTACCGGAAGTTGGACAGCATAAATTTGTCAGGGGAGAGGTTACACTTTCTGTTCGACACTGTCTCGTCGTTCGCCGCGGGGTGAAGCTCAGGGACATTGGGAGGGTCCTTAGTCACGAGCAAGTAAGCTCTAGTAACGATTCTGACGCGGACCTGCTCGAACTGAATTCTACCCTGCCAGGCACTTGGCCAATGTGCGCGCTTCCTCTCGACCAACCTGCCTGGAGCCGCCCGCATCAAGATGTCGTCCACGTCGGCCGCTGCGCAGGCACTCCTGTCCGAAGACAAGGCAGACCAACTAACAGAAAGTGCAGCTCTCTGCTCTGCCGCCTGCGCTAAAATGCATCCAGAGCTGGAAATTCTGCAGGAGAGCGTGCAAGACAGTAACAGTAAGTTCGGTCGGGTCCGTTGTCTCTTCGCATCCCATTGAGTCACTCCAAACGCGGGTTAGCAAATTGCACACGGTTCTACGTCATCGGAAAATCACTCGACGTCAAGCTGCCATCCACATTCCATGTAACCCCTCCCAGGCATGCGCTAGTGCGCATGGCTCTCAGAAACCCCGATATGGCCCCGGATGCGACTGTGCACCCTCGCAATCGACTTGTTCAACTGGTTCTCAGCACATTGCTGGCTACGTTTGGCCTCCCTGTTACGCGGATAGACAGGAGGCCGTCCTTGACTGATGTTCCTTTCGAGGATGTTTACATGGTCGAGCTGGAGAATCCGATGAGTGCCCTCAGCGTCGGCGCTGAAGCAGATGTTAATCTCCTTGACTCTTCTATGTGGAGTAGGATGGCAGCAGGAGTGAAACAGGTAGAAGCGGCAGGTGGCGATGCCACCGTGCTTGGAATCTGGTAAAACTCGATCCTCTTGCATTTACTGCAGATCTCCTAGCGACTACGAGACGTTAGAGCCAGAATAATGTCAAGAGTTGCTAGATATGTGCGCATGGGCAGGATTGTGTGTGTGACATACATGACTCAAGTGATCTGTAACATTGTATTTTAGATTGAAGATTGTTCTAGAGACTGCTCAACGAGTGAAGCAACAGCCTGTGATCTAGGTGTTATGCGGCACTTGAATGGTTTAGGGCGACTGAGTAGAGTTCAGTCGCAATCGGAACAGAGAGTTATCACGGTAATTCACCTGAGCAACGTAGATGTAAACTCTACATCTGGCTCAATGGGCATACCCTTTTCATCTAGAGCCTTCGAGATATCGAAAGTTGCACAAATGGTGGCTACGGCTATCCATAGTGAATCTACAGCTAGCCACCTGCCAGGACACATCCTGAGGTGGCATTGCAATAAGCATGAGAGTATGAGTGATTGCCTTACAGTCGAAGATAAATCAGATACCGTCTACCGAACCCAAAAGCGGCCCAAGGAATCTCATTGATGTTTTGCTCACTGTTAACTTGAGCATCTGCATAACGCTCGGGATGAAATCGGAGCGGGTCAGGATAAGTGGTCTCATCATGTAATATACCCCTACGATGATTGTAAATGGAGAATAACAAGACAGGAATGCATGACTAACCAAACATTTGGTAGAACCGTCGTGCCTTTTGGGATGTGGTATCCTTCGTATTCATCGTCGTCTGTCATGCTGTGTGCTATTCCTAAAGGTGTAACTGGGTAGGGTCAGGTAATGAAGTGACGGATATATGGGTGGTCCGTGTATAGTCGTGCACCACATACCAGGATTCCATCGAAGACATTCCCATACGATCCAGTCCACATAAAGCAGCGAGATTCGATCGTCGAAGTTAGGCAGACGATCAGGGCCTACGACCTGATCGATCTCAGCTTGCGCTCGCTTGAGGACATCGGGATAGATGGTCATCGCCAAGAAAAACGATATAACGCCTGATACAGTCTGTTGCCAATCATGTCGATTCACGCCCAGGGTATAAAATACCGTGGCCACCTACAGTATCCGCACCAGCTAGACTATGCATTATGTTCAGTGGCCTTATGGAATTAATCAGTTGCAATACCAGCATATGCAGTTGCAGCAACATCCTTGATTATTCTCTCTTCGTCTGGATCTTGACCATTGTGTTGCCACTTCTCCAGCTCGAACGTAGTCAGTGCTGAGATGGCACTCCCATGTTTCTGAAAAGCCATAAGGATAACCATCATGTCCAGCATGTATATCACTCACCATTCGTTCTTTGACCATGTCGAACGGTGCATTCAGCATTGCTTGGTTTAGTTTTCGCCATTCGAGTGCTTGCCGCTTGAAGCCAGCGCCGGGCATCCACCTAGGCACGTGTCTGACTATGCTCATACCAGCGTCAGAAGACTAGGCGAGCTCAACAGGTGATGGCTCACGAAGAGGAATGTAATCAACGAGATATGTTCCAAAGATCCCACTTGCTGCTAAGGTGGCTAGTGCTTTGTCGGCTAACGTCACGAAGTTATCTCCTTCCGGAGCAACCTGATATGCGGTTACCAATGAACCACCAAGATGATAAATAGAACAAGAATGATACCTGATGTCCGTAGACAATATTCATGATGATTGCAGCAGCAGTCCTGTCAGTGGCACCTGTAAGTCCATATGGTACAACCCCGAATTCAGAGAAAGGGTAGAGACCTTCGTACGTGGTGAGCAAACATGTCAGGCGTGTCGAGGAGATTTTGGAGGAGGACATGTGTTTCTCTGGACTGTACGGGATGGTGGTGGGAGGTTGTGGTATTGTTGAAGTAGTGGTGGAAAAGCGTTCGGTGTCGCTTCCACCACGAGCCGTATGGTGCAGTCGAGAATAACCAATCAAAGCCCATGCTGGAGCTCGGTGAGATAAGGAAACCAGAGACGTATCTGAAACGCGACGCACAGCTTGCTGACCATCGTCCTTTGCGGACGGGAAGAGTATATACTACTGCGCTTGTCAAGTAGGTCGTTCGCTACCCTCGCGGTGTTCAATATGAGAATGGGATTCCCGAAGATGTGGATGTAGATCACGTCGCCTGTGAGAGGACAAATTGATCGAATTCAGAGACGCGGGAGAAGGGCGTGGGCGACAATTGGAAGGCACAAACCATAGAGCTTCCTCCATTCCGCGTAGGTTTTCCAAGGATACGAGGTCGGCAACGCGACAGAGCCAAAGGTAGAAGCGCGGGGGCCAGGAGGAAGATGGCGGGCATTTCGTCGTACGAGGCAGCCGTATAAAATACAGACGAGGGAGGCACAGAGCAGAAGGGGCGTGCAGGGGACGGTAGCCATGGGCGAGGGAGGAAGAGGGCCGTGACGCGAGCTGCCGCATTTTTATTTACATATAAGTAAAGCGTGCACACTTGGCTGGGTTGAAACTTAAGTATGCGAGAACCGTTCCGTGTCGATCGCCGTGCGGGAGCTGAAGCGCGCCGGCTGCTGCCGCCTTTAGTAAGCCCGCCCGGCACACTCCGCAGTGTCCGCCACTCTTGTCGACGCCACAACGGGCGGGACAGGCAATGAGTCTCTCCTCAGCCACCACCACCACGCTCTCCGTCCCCCCCATCATCAAGGACCTCGTCCGCCCCCAGTTTCACCAGAACAACTTCCAGGAGGAGGCGTACGTCAAGTCCGAGCTCGGTATCAAGCTTGACAAAGGTCTGCGCTCCGCCATATCTTACGTTACGTCTGACCCTCATTCCCCCAGATGACCAAATCTGCCGTCTCGCCCTGACGGCCACTGGATGCCCCCTTGGACCGCTTCTGTGCCCCCTCAGACACACCACGCCTTCCACCGCCAACTTTCAGCCTCCCAAACAGCTACCGACCCACCCCCGTGAGCGAGAGCGTTTAGCAACAGTATGCAAGCACTGGCTCCGCGGTCTATGCAAGAAGGGCGATGCGTGTGAGTTCTTGCACGAGTACAATCTCAGGCGCATGCCCGAGTGTTGGTGGTACGCCAAGTATGGCTACTGCTCTGCTGGAGACGAATGTCTCTACGCTCACCCAAAAGAACGTCGCATTGAGTGTCCGGACTATAATCGGGGCTTCTGCCAGCTCGGTGCGTCCTTAGCGATTCTCTTCTCATATCTTATCCTTACAAAGATCCTCAAAACGGTTGCCCGACTATCCCATAGGTCCAACATGCCCACGAAAACATGTCCGCCGTGTTGCATGTCAACTCTACCTGACCGGGTTCTGCCCTATGGGCCCTGATTGCGCCCGTGGACAGTGGGTATCTACATCCTTATGACTCTAAAATCTGGTATTCAATCCAATTTCGCAGTCCTAAGCCTGGGGTTCCCCTTCCGGAGGCATATGAACCGCCGCCGCAGCCGTCTATTCGTGATCTCGGGCCGCCGCCTCCAGGCTATGGTAGGTATGCAGATTTCGACCGCGGTAATCTCGGCCTCCACCCCCCGGGCGGAGGTGGCTCTGGTGGGCCTCCAGGTCCTCGCAGGAACATTGAAGACGTTGTGTGCTTCAAGGTGTGCTCCCTGCTCTATCTCATATTGATCTTGCTGGTGCTCATTTTGGATCTAGTGTGGAGAAAAGGGTCATTACGCTAATCACTGTAGAAATCAGATGCGGAAGCGGTAATCTGGACTTGTTCTGTATACAGTAATTTTCGCGTATGTGTTGTATAGTGGAAGAACCCATAGTGAATACATGCTGCTGTTGACATTTATACATGTTCATCAACCGAAAAACCCTATAAGATGATACTACATGTTCTACTGAAGCCTAAAGAAGTAAATAAGCACTACTGACGTGAGAATCAAAATGGTGCACATGCAATCCAACGTTCCACAAAATGGGGTGGTAGCATGCTCCGTGCAAAATTATCGCTAATTTGAATAAACGTCAAAACCTCCCATCATACGCAGACATAGAAACAGACGCGGTTCGCGGATGCGTCTGCGAAGGGTATCCAGTTGGCGCCGGCTGTCGCTGTGGCCAGGGAACACCAGACTGTGACGCCCCGACCATGGGCTCTTCGAAAGAATGCGCACCCGGGAGAGGCGCACAGATAGGCTCTCGAGAGGTGGATTCCTTGGAGAACAGCCCTGCATGGGAGAAAGGGTATAAGGGCACTCCGACGTCGAGTGGCTGTCGCTGTGAAGTCATGCAGACGATCTCTGTCATAAGACCCTGCAGCAGTTTCTCTTGACGGACTAGAAGACACATTCATGAGCTGAAAGATCTAATAGGTATATTTGATATGACTTACCGCCAATGGGAGAGCGAGTGCCGTATGTCAACATTGCGAAACTATTCAGCAGTATTCATGAGACAGTGATAAGCGATAATATTGCTGACGGACCGGAGCGTGTTTATCTCTCCCCACACTGCTGCTTCTCTAGCAGTGTCCCCAATTTCTATAAAATACTTACATAGCTGGACCTGAACTGCGGCAGCCAAATACCAACAGATCTATCTTCATGGTGAGCGATCGGTACCACTGTCTGAGACGCCATGACTCACAACGATGAACGGATGCAGTCGTGTTATATCGAGAGACGTTTCCGCAAGCTTATAGCAAGCCTGTAAGATCGATCTTGTCGCACTCATACAGCGCGCAGTGGATGCACTTTGTGTATCGTGGAAGTTGATGTATGTGTTGTGAAGTGTGATGGTAGCTCTAGAAGAGTACTATCAGCGGCATCATCCAGCACGACCACGAGCCACGTACGCATGAGGAACAACATGTGCCATGTAAAGATCGGTGTCTAGTACACCAACACTACCACCCAAACCCAGATGCTTGTACATCTGGGGGAAGCTTTCTAAGAAGTCAACGCAGACCAGCTTGTCCAGCCCGGGGAAGCCCTGTAGATGGAACGGATTCTGGGTTTTGGAGGGAGGTACTGTTGCGCGCAGGTTGGACCTGGTTATGAAGTCTGTGACGGTGCCAAACATCATGACTGACTTCAAAAACAAAATGAACGAATCGGTGTATTCTGGTGCATGCAGAGTAAAGACGCCGTTCGTCGATAAATCCTGCGGATTGCTAGGAATGTTCGACTTCGGTCCACTTCAGATATTTTGATACTACCAGCAATAAATGATAATGACTTACATCTGCTTCAAAATCTAGGGCCCGGACGGGGAACTCGGTCCCAATGTCTTGCTGGTCGACGCCATGTAGCCAGCCTCCCACGGAGACGATACGGTCAAATAAAACGGCCATCCACCACGTTCTACGTCGTGATTCCAGGTCCCTGAAGTCTCTGGGTGGTGGAAGATATGCTCCGGGTGCATTCGAGCTTTGAGGCGAGAATGTGCCAGGATAGTTGAGACGAAGCGGCACGGCAACTCGGGTCTGGAAGCCGGAAAATATCCAAATCTCGACCCATCGCCCCTCCTGATAAAAATACCATGACAGCAAGATGCAAGCTTGTAGAACTGGGAAGATGTCCTGTCCGGTCGCCATAGTTTTGTCAATGAACTCCCTTGCCTTGCCTACGTGCATCTCTGCAAACTTGTCCTGACGACTGCCATCGGGGAGCATCATGATGTCTGTTGACGCCCAGCGCGAAGCGGAAGCACACTAACAAATAAAATTCAGTTTCGAGGCTGACCGCAGCCAGAGAGGAAGCGCCTACGATTGCGTGTAGTATGGCGGAGTGCGGGAAATGGGGATCGGAAGGAGGTAGGTGGAGGGAAGTGATGAAGGACGGACGGTGCAATATGCGCGATCCGCAAGGATCACAGCGGAAGAACACGTCCACACTAAAAGACGTGAGAGGTTTGATATGGTTGCCACGCTGCTTCAACAAGTGGCACTCACTAGTGATTGAGAACATCCGGAGGTGGTAGATCTGGATCCCAGCCGGAAAAAAACATATCCATGAGTGATTCTGTCGTATTTCTCGGTTGGGGCACGTCCGGGCTACCACTCGAACCCCGTCCTTGAGAAGGCGGACTGATAGAAGACGTGTCCACGCGGCCTTCGAGGGAAGATGAAGACGGGACTCCCGTTCCGGGCGGTGTGTTGGCTGGGGTTCGTTCTGCTGAACCTGTGAGATTACTTGAAGGTGAAGCAGACCCAGACGAGAACCGATGTGGATGGCTCAGCTGGCCTCTCAAGTGCACTAAATTATCGAGAAATGCATATGTTGAGGGACCAGCAGTGCCACTGTATGGAACGTGGCGCACCTATCTGTTCCTCTAATGCTCTGATCTTCTCGAGAGGCTCAATGTCGGATGCGATTGGCAACCCCTCTACCGGGTCATATGAACATTGGGGTTCCGTGGGGTGGCTGCGCATCAAGTGTAAGTTGCTATTGATCCGCAACGAGTGGAGAAACATACGCGTAGCCAATTGGTGGAGGGACACTAATCAGGGTCTGCCACTGTCTGTTCCACTTGAGAAAATGGCCGAAAGGCGGCTGTAACAAGCAGAGATGGACTCACTTGACGCATGTTGCACAATGTGGTCGCGCGGCGTCACATTTCTGCACAAAATCGGTTCAAGCACAGTGGTAGGGCATGAAGTGGCTTACAAGCTTTCTCTTCCGACAGGCGAGACAGGCCTGGGTGAAATAGGACACGCTGAGAACATGACGAGGATAGAGTATGGGGATGACATGCCTGATTCCTGCGCAGAGCAGGTCGGGCCGATGACGTGCTGGCTTTGGGCATCTAGTTTTCTGAATCACGGCTATCAGATGGGAGATGAGGCCAGACAAGATCGAGGGCGACTGACATGAAACCGGAAGGCACGGCTTGCCAGGGCAAAAGCCTCGGGTGCGGACGGAGGGGCGTCAGACACAACGCAGACTCGCAGAAGTGTAGCCGAGTGGGAGTTCTTAGACGGAAGGAGTGCGGCGACTTATAGGGATGGGCCGTATGGCTGGGAGAGGATTCAAGGCTGCGCCTGCGGTATTCGGACGAGCGGAGGCCCCGCGATCGGCACGAGAGCAGTCGGTGGCGGCTGTGAGTAAACTGAGATCAGACAGTGAGTGCACACAGCGTGCTGCGGAGACGAGGAGGAGGACGAGGGAGGTTTGTGAGCTCGAGTCGCCTCGCAGGAGAGTACGGCCGGGGAGGACGCTGTCGACGCTCGGAGCGAGCGAGCGGGAAAATATAAATAACAAAATCGGGCGGGCGCATTATTATTAACGGCCATGGCCGCAACCGGCAGGGGGGGGGGCCAGCGG